GAAAAATATAAATTTGCTCAATGATGCTACAGAATTTTGCTTTTTTTTGCATTAACTGATCATTTTTATGATTATTTTGTGATATTTTCATGAATTCCATTAATTTTGATGATTAATAGATTTAGACATTTTATGGATAGTTATATTTGGTAGTTTTATCCTCGTCTATGGTTCTTTTTGCTATACTTAATACTAATAATTATTGCGAACTATTGAAATTTATTATTATATAAAAGGCATATTTTATGAAAGCCAGCCAAAAAAGATTCAAAAAGCTTCTTCTTTTGATTCATCAAATGAATATAAGCAATATATTCACTAAAAAGGAACATATCCATCGACTGAATTAATTTCTTATATAACTTATAACTTATTCGAAGTGGGTAATATGGCTCAGTGGGTTGTTGCTCAAATCGGAGCACAGATACTAAGATTCTCTCTAAGGTTCTATTCCCTGCAGGAGTAAAGTCTGTCCAAAAATCCGATTGATGTTGGCGACTCACCTGCACTTCTATCGCCAAGCGGTGTATTTGTTCTCTTAAAAAGTTCTAGTAGTGAGTTCTCTTAAAAAAAAAAAACTTCTAAATGAGTTAATTAGTTAGCTTCCGTTTTTTATGGCTATACTACTTGTTTGTACCACAAAAAATCATCATTGTCACATACCGATAGAAATACAGCTGAATCATTAAAATCAGCAAATTTTTTAATGAAATATTCATTTTTCTATTTTGCTGGCTCAATTTATTGCTATAATGAAGCCGTTTTTGGTCGGAGAATGATTTGGTAATAGAGCTAAGCCATCAATGCCTGGGCAAGAACTTTTTTTTTCATATATTTATACACTGATTTATTCGATTAAAACAAATATTCATCAACTGAAAAAATTAAATTCGTGGAAAAAAAGTAAATAAATTGTATTATAATAAATTTCTTAAAATAAATTCAGTCTGTGGCAGAATTTTATAGAGTTTCTATGCTTTAACGTTATTATATATATTTACGATCGGAAATCTTCACAATTATTGGAGAATTTCCACATTTATTTGTGTGATTTTCATAGCAAACATTATTTTATTAGGAAAAATTTTTTAAAATCTCTACTGTTTATACTGCTTTCAAATTTTTCGAATCTTTTCTTCATTATCTCATTACTTACTTTTTGTGCTTTCATGCTAAATAAATGATTGCTTAGCCTTTTATATTTCTAATTGGCTCGCTCTACCGGTGTGTATAAGGGATGAGTATGGTGAGAAATTCTTACAAGAGAATCGATTGACTAAAGGATTACAAGTGCATTATTAGTATCACCTCGATTTGTTCATGGAAGGTTTATTCTTGCCAGAGGGAGACAGGTTCTGAAATCATCGAGATGATAATAAAAATAATGATAATCTAAGCAACAAATTCGGCTATCCCACCTCGGTGTATATACAACGAATACAAATACTTTACCTCTTTATTTGTCATCAGGGATCATATAATGGATAATCTGGTTGGGCTACGATTCAGCAAATGAGATCGCATTATTCTACTTTATTTCTACTTGATTTTAACTATGTTTTCATTCATGCAAACTGCTACTGGTTAGTCAATAGCCTACTGCCTAAAAAAGAATGGCTCATTGAGTTGTTGCTAAGTTCGGAGGGCTAATACTAAGGTTTTATTCCCTGAAGGAGACAGGAATTTCTCGGAAAATCCGGGTGATGTTGGCGCCTCACCTGTATTTCTATCGCCAAGAGGCTCCCTGGCTTATTTGTTTAGCGCGACAAGTGGAACGAATCTAACCAGTAATGTCCTAAAAAAAAATTGGCTGTAACGGTGAGACATTTTCAGCCTCTCGATTGTAATAAATATATCTTACAGCATTGATTTCAGTTTTAGAATCCTTTCTTCTGACGTTGTATATGAAAGAAATGTCAAAGGTTTTTCGTTTTTTATTGTGTTCGATTTAACGGATTTTTTGACGGATGATTCCCTAAACGACTTGGTAATGCTTTTTTTGCGAAATTTATTTAATTGGATTCTCCAAGACGTAAAAGGGGTGGTTTTCCAGATTATATATTTTGACACTCGAAAATTCGAATAGTGTTAAGGTGTTAACCTTCCTGTCGTTAAGTGGTTATCTGAAAACAGGAATTTCTCATTAATATTAATCAAAAATGGTGATTTCTTATTGACAGTGGAAAATCCACATTATTTTTTTGTTTAATTAGCCTAATTCGATGAGGTAATGGTTGAAACCATTGGAATTTTTAAGCTTATTATAAGCATGATTGTAAAATTCAGTAAATATTTTTGCTACTGAAAATAGCGTTAAACTTTAACCCTCATTATCCTCGTTTTAGCAGGATGATTCTAGGGATGATGCCGCAACATGTTATATTTTCACTCATTTTGTGGATTTACTGGAGTCGTCGCGGGAAATGAAGGTGATTTAATAAATAGTTTGATTTAATAAAACAAAAAAAAATTATTCATTCATTTTCAACTATAACTACAAATTTTCGCCCACGATTAAAAAATTCCTTAGAACCATTAAATGACAATAGTGCTATTGAATTTTATGACTAATGATAGTTGTAGATTGTTCTTGCAGGACGAATTTTTATGTGTACTTCTATCCATTTAAGAATAAAAATGAAATTTTATAAAATTAATTAATCAATTTTTCCCAACCCAAGCCAACCCGAATTTTGAAGCATCAGGTGCTGATAGGTGAGGTGAGATGTGACTGTTACGCTTTATAGATAATTCGGAGCAAAAATTAAAATGAATTAGGCATTTCGAATTTATTTTAAGAAAATTTCGTTTCGACAACTGCTGCTTTTGAGATATTTGTCTAATTGCAGTGATTCCGAAATGCCTAATTTATTACCGTCTTTCATCCAATTCCTTCTTTCCTTAATTCATTTTAATTTATAGATTTTATGGTTTTCAAATTCATTCGATCTTAATGCATTCACGCTTATGAAACCACGAAGTCTTTTTTTTAAAACCTAATCAAAGTTAGCCTTCGAGAAAATAGCCTATCGTGTCTTCCATAATTGAGCTATAGATAAAATCATCGTCCAAGTTCACCTGTATGTTCGAAATCTTTTCTGGACTGTATCATTCCAGATTTTGATGGGTCCTTTTCGATTTTGACGTCATCCATCACAAGGTTTAACAAGTAGCAAAATATATGTCAATAAATTTCTGTGGTACGTGACGAAGAACGTGTCCTAACCAGCGAAGGCTCTGTGATGGTACTTTTAATACAAATGCTATTGTTGACTAGTACTTGAACGAAGGAAAATATAATCATGTCAGATTTCGCTAGACAGATCGGACGTAAAATATATCTTAGACATGAGTAGTCAAAGGCACATAGTTTCTTAATATCCACCACTCTCACTGGCCACGTCTCGCGAATAGCAAAATCGAGCGAAATTCAACCACATGGACGCGGACTTTTGCTCTTATGACTGCTCCATAAAGAACGATTTTGTAGATTTTATAAAGATTTTGTCCAGAATTATGCACTTCAATAGATGAAATAATGAGATCAAAATATAATATTGTTCCACTTAGGCTCATGAAGACAGGATGACTTAGTGAGTTGTTGTTCAATCCGAAGCCTCGATGCTGAGGTTCCATTTTCCGCGATAATAAACGTGTCCAGAAATCCGGGTGACTTATCTGTATTACTATGTTAGTATTGAAGCTAGTGGAGCGAGTTTAACCAGCTTTTTTAACTATTTACGGTTTTTCTCGCCTCACTGCCACTGGTATGAGACCTTTTTGTCGAAGGCTGACTCGAGATAGAAATATAGGATGAAAAATATAGGAAGATACGATAAGAAGATAGAAGAGAGGAACTAACACTTTCTTTTAATAACAAATAACAAATATGCAGAAGGAATCAAACCTATGTCTTAGCTGAAACATACCATTCGGCTATCGTATCCCCCCTCCTGTATTTATATTCCTATTGTTATTCATTTTCTAAATGAAATAACAATTTAAATGGGAACAATAAATTTAAAATTTCTTTTTATATCATTGGATCTCCATCTTCTTTAATTAATTAATTAATTGATCAATACCAATGATTTATTTGTAAAAATTAGACGACTTCATAAATTACAAATTCATTAATTTATTGGTTTAAAGTACAATAAAATGGTTCGCTTAACATGAATTATTAAATCTCGAGATAATGCTAAACGGTCATTTGGTCGTTCATTTAACTTTTATGGATTTAATATGATTTAATTTAATAAAATCAACCCTCATTATCTCGAATTGGCGTAATAAATCTCTTTAAACGACCTGTATATTAAAGATTCAGGTGGAGTTCCATAACAACTTTTATATTTCACCACTACAGTGAGAAGTGGTAACAACCAGGTTTATCTAGTGTTCATTTATGCAAGCTGGTAATCGGCTGATTTTTCTATTTATGGCGCTGTTCATCCTTCAAAACACTAACTGCGAGAGAATGCAAAATACTATTACAAAATACGATAACGTTGCTGGAACCTCTTATAAAAGAGAACATAATGGTCAGTTTAGCTGTTAACTTCATGCAAATGAATTTACAAGTGACAGCCAAAGTTCACAACAAGCAAATTTTCATAAAATCGATTTAAATCATCTACAGAAATAAATGAAAATTTCTTTTTTTATTATGATTAAGGCTCCGTGAGCGGCTGAAGCATTCTTTCCGCCTGAATTAATCGTCATCCCTCTTTCATTTTAGTCGCTTAAATTACTCATAATAGACATATAATAGCGATGGGAAAATTTATTAGTAGTGTTTGAACAAATTTTTTCCGCACAAATTTTAGTAGTTTTTTCTTTTCAAAATTTTTTTCGCAATAGTTCTTCTTAAATGCAAATAGATAGATAGATCTAATGCAGATCTAATGCAGAAATAGGATTGTGTAAAAATCATAATTTATATAACTTATTTGATTTCGGTCGAAAAAATTGAGAAATTTGCATGTATGTTTTCAGAAATGTCAGCTTATCATCGCCTAAGGCATCAAGAGCGACATCGACGGCGTTTTCGCACGATGCATCTGTTAAAAACCACAGAGAGCAACCAACAAAACACCGAGGAAGTCTTCGATAATCTCAGAAGACATCTGTTAGGCCAGCAGACCTCTAAGATGCTCAAAAGGATCCATCACCACAAGGCATGATTTGTTTTGAATTGAATATTTAATGTATCCACAACAAAATAAACAAAATAGACCATACTTTTTTTATAGATGGTTTATTTATTAAAAAAATAAATATGGCTTTCAAGAAAATCTTAATTCAAGAATATCGCTAGGAAGCGAGAACGAAATGAAGCATTATGTGAGAGTCATCGAAACACTGTGCATATGAATACGCCATTTCTAGAATATGATCCACCATTCATGGTTGAGATTCGGTGTAGGAATATTGCAGAATTCGAAAGGAATAATGGATTATCTATACTGACTCCACAGGTTAACTCTTATGGCGAAAACATTCATTAACCCTTTATTTTTTATTTTTAATCAAATATAACATAGTTTTTTCTACAATTCAAACATTTTGTCTTCTCCTAGATAAATCATATCTGTTTCCAAAATCCATATCTTTCCATTTAAAAATAAAAAACTTTATAATTTCGCATAATAGCTGAATTGCTGAATTTTGCTCGACTAGTACATAGGCCAGATCAAGTGTATGCATAATTTACAATTTCATCAATTTTGAACCGCATCTTGTGGCACTTACTTGCAATCACACTTTTCCTAAATCGCACTTTATGGTTTTCATTCTCTCCTGAGAAACAATTTAAAAATTTTTTTCTATTTCAGTCTGAATTTTGACCACGTTATTTGACCAGATGTTTATCTCTATACTTTTTAAGTTGCTACTGTCTACAGATAAACCCACTTTTGCTCGACAAAAAGTGGGCATAAATGAAGCTATCAGTGGAAACATTGCAGAGTTTAGCAATCTTAAACATTAAGTCTGCTAAACAATTTCGAATGACACAAATTTATTTTTATCTGTATGCTTGCTTTTGAAATGGTTGATTTAAAACTAGAATAAGCAGAATAACGCAGCCGCTTAATATCTCTTTTCAATACATTTCCTTTTCTTATTTATTTTCCAATATTTAGAAAGTCGTATAATTCTGTATTGATTCTTCTTCTTACATTTCTCGCCATTACTGGTTAAGCTGGCTCCTCTGGCTACAAGGGTAAGACGTTTCCAAGCAACTCGATTTGATGCCATCGCTGATAGTATAGAACCATTTTTTTTACCTTTTAAATCCAAAATCCATCTGTAGGTAGATCCCAGCTCGCTCTTAAAACCATTCATATTAGGGTTTATTATATATTAACTATGTCAACTCTTATGAACGACGAAGAAAGAATGTGTAGCGAAAGCGAAGATGATAACATTGTTAAAGCAAGTGGTATTTGAATGAAGGTAGATGCTATTATGTGAGATTTTCCACTAGGCAAACCCGTAAAATATACCTTAAATAAGAGTGGTTAAAGGCAGATGACTTCATAATATCCTACACCCTCATCGACCATGTCTCACAGCCAAATAGCAAACTTTCGTCTTAATAATGATTTCACAACGAGTCTATAAAGGTTTTGTAAATCGGAAGAATGCATTGCTAGCTACAGCATTGTTGTGCCTTTGCCTTTCATCAATTCGGCATTGGAGTGGAGGTGTATAAAGTATAAAATGGGACACTTCCTCAATCGGTGATGAATTTATAAAAGCAAATATTTTACCAGCTTCCTTATATATAAAACGAAATGCTTCCGTTTTATTTAACCATACCACGGACACCAGTTCTTATTTGTCATTTCCCCATATATACACACCTGAAGTACGTTGATAAAATGACTTTATGAGTCGAATGATCTTCTCTCGAAAATCGCTGCATCCCATCTTGTTCCAAAGCCTCATTCTGTCAACTGAATCAAAGATAGCTACGAAGTCGATGAAACTCAGTATGGTGGGTTGGAGATATTAATGAAGCGATGTTCTAACACCTTTCTTAACGTGAATATCAGGACAATATCCGCGGCCCCGTTTAAACCTAGCTTGATAAGGGCGCACCCTACTGCCCCGTACTGCCATAAGTCTACTGAGTAGGCAAACAAAAATTTTTGCTGAAACATCTAGTAGGCTGATTCCTCAATAATTGTCACAGTACATCTTTATTGTCATTTTTATTGGGAATTGAGAATTGCTTTGCCCCAGTCATCTTCTTTTTCTTCTATCAGTGCAAAAGTATGGTTCGACGAGTAAATTAGCTATATAAGGGGTAGATATATCATGGTTAAGTTTGGTCCCAAAAAAACCCATTCCACCAAGCGATCCTTAATGCTTTTAATAGGCACACCTTACTATTTCACTGATCATTCTTCTTAGTTACATTTACTTTACGAAAAAGCATGGAAATGGTTGATTTTTGGAAACATTCCTTTAGTTGAAAATTAGATTTCATCTGCCGTTGCAGAATAGTCGTTGATATTTATTCCATTGTATAGATTTTATGTAGATAGGATAATTTGAAACGAATGTGCATTCCTAGAATATTTTATAAAAATTTTAAGTCTTCCCAATATATTAAAATATTAGCGCCATTTGTGAATTGAGAGACGCCAAATTTGACAGATTGTCTCTATTAATGATCGTTTTGATAGCCTTCGTTCTCACGAAATTCGAGAAAATTTGATAAAACAATATTAAAAAGATTGATAAGTTGTAAAATTGTAAAATTTTTTTCAAAAAAAATTGGTAAAAAATACAAAATGTTCCAAGAGAATTTTTATGTTTTAAACGAAAAAAGACACTTATTTTCTTATTTTATTTAAATTATTTACGAGCGTCAGAAATGGATCAAAAATTTTTTTCAAGTAATACTTACAAAAATCCGACTCAAAAAATCGCTAAAATCAAACGATGCTTAGCGATTTCAATTTTTTTAAATTGTTAAAGTGATAAATAAATAAAGTTTTTTTAAAAGTTTCATCGTATATTCGCAATTAGGACGACAGTTGCAGTGACATGTGATATTCTTCCCATTCTGATGGTGTACCCACCTGCATTATTCCTAGGCCATCCCTAAGCTAAAATATTTTACTAATAGCCCGTGCAACGAACACGACTAGGAATGGTGTGTACCACATATTTGCGAAAGTAGTCCTTCTAAAATTTCTAATAAAAAATTTCAAATTTTGTAAAATTTTTCTTTGGCTTTGTTTTAAAACTTTGATTCTTTTATCGTTTTTTTTCAAACGAATGTTTTCGATTTCTATTCGTTCATAGAAAACTTTAGCTCGCATTTTTATAAGATTATGATAAATTTCGTTGTAATTCAGTAAAATTCAGTGAAATTGCCTTGTAATTGTCTATATTTGAAAATTTTGTTGGAAAACAAGGATTCCATGAGAAAATTTTCACTGTACTATGCCATGTGGACATAAATGGAAAAGGAAGCACCGATATTTCTCCTTCTAGTGTCTGCTCACCATTTCTGGCAATGCTCGCTCGATTGGTATGCGAGCGTTTTCAGAAGAGAGTCACTTGGCGATAGAAGTGCAGCGAGATTTATTGCACCACTCGCTAGTTATATCGATATTAAAGTATTTAATTCGAAAAGTGATTTATGAAAATAATTTTTCGATTTAAAAAAATTTTAATAAAATAAGATGAGAAAGAAGAAATTCGTTTAAACGATTCAAATGCGTCTTTTTTTTGAAAAAAACAATCTTCACTGATGAATTATTCGTCGATCGTTTGCACCTTTAAATGAATCAAATTCTTATTACTTATTCCCTTTTTTTTATTAAATAAATAATTATTCGCAAAAATCGATTCTCGCAATTATTAAAAAACTCAAAATCGAACTAATGAAATGGCAATTTTGGTTTTTCGTCCGCTGAAAAGCACAGAAAAACAAATCATCTTTTTGGCTAAAACTTATAGGCCCACTGCACGCCCTTACACTAAAACGTGACTTCGCAAGTGTGAGAAGTTCCACACCTCTCAGCGATCGTATTAAATTGAATACTGCAAAACCTACCATGAATAATGGTAAATAATGCGAGTAATAATAATAATAATAAGCTATAAAACACAGTTGAATAAAGTTGATTTTTAGTACGCGGAATTTTGTTGCGGGTATGTATCGCCTATTTTAATCCCTTTATTTACTATAGGACAACTTTATTGATTCATCGGAGAAATCTTTAAAAATAGGTAATTCCATACTTTTTTCTATAGGATATTTAGTGTTAATGGATGCTAAGCAACATGCGTATTTTTTTATGATAACGAAACTCACGCCGAGTGCAATCTGGCGTTGACGATTAGCAGAGCAACAATCGGCTCTTTCACTGCAGTCTATAAAGCAACTGAAGATAGCATTTTTTTCGCGGTTTATCTGGATGTAGAGTAATTGAGCGCTATAGTGTTCCAAGCAGGATCGAGGGAAATTCCTCTTTCTTAAAAAGCCTGCCATAAAAAGTTTTTTTAAAAGTTTCAAAATGTTTTTTTAAAATGGAGAGGGAGGGATTGAAGCCGAATCACATGTTTGAAAGAAAGAAAGTATGCGATCAGCCACCTTGTAATTCTTTCCCTAGTGGCTCATCGTTGTCAAAAGCCTGTAAAGCCAAGAAATACTGGAAGAAGAATAAGATCACCATACCCGGTTTCTAGTGATAAATTTACTAATTTTTAGACATGTGTATACGACCTCCTTCGATGCGTGCAAGTATATAAAGACGTTCATTTCTCGCGTCGAAAAGTGGGTTCAAATAAATGGTATCCATATGTATTATCTAATGTTCCAAGTAGTTGTGACTGCATGTGGCCAGTCGATAAATATGGACATCAAGAATTGTAAAACATTTTCGAAAGCATTAAAAATAATGAATCGAAAATTTTCGAAGAATAAACTGTGCTCTCAGTTTGCTTTTCATTTGCCATTGAAATAAAACTGAAGTGACATCTGATTATCACCTGAACCTGGTTCTGCTTATCATCATTTGTCATTTGAATTTTATAAACCTGTCAATTATTTCATAAAATTACCGTAATCAGAGTGAAGAGTTGACGAAGAAGATGTTCTATTCAGACTTCCTTTCTTAACTACTGGACTTGCTAAACTAATGAATAAGGGATAATTTAGATTTCCTTCCTTATCTTGATTAACAAAGTCGCTAGTATGAAATTTCCAACACGAATACGCGTATAATATGGGAAACTTCTAATAATACTTCGAAATAACTGAAAAACCATCCCTAATACTAAGTTTATCGGTGGTGGAGGAATGCGTATTGCAATCTCCTCAAATAAGGCATTAACTGCTTCCAAAAACTTCTTCTTTCATCATCACCTCAGTTACTTATTGTATTTCATTTGCTGTAAATATAAATAAATATAAATTTATTTGCTCAATCTGTATTACTTTCACATTTTCGCATTTTTTTATTTTAGCTCGATTTTGTAGTGAAATATTGTTTCGAAAAAGTATTTTAACAAGTTCAAAGATAAGTTCTCTTAATTATTTTTGCAGCTACTATTTTGATTTTCTCAGTGCTTTTTTTAAGCGATTTTACGCGATTACTATTATATAACATTATTCTATTATTTAAGTTTAGTGTTTTCGTTAACACGAGATAGTTGCAGTTTTTTCTTTAATTTATTTTTTATTGAAGTATAATAATTACATTTTGCGCCTTCTCAAATCTACAGTTCAGTAATATAATTGCTTATTATTAGAGGTCCTCAACAAATCAAGCACTCTTAGTTATCGCTTATCATTTCGAATATGGGCTGACCCCGCTGGCTAAGGGTTGAATACTTTGCCACATTTGGTAATTGAAGTAAGATGAATCAATAACCAAATGAGGTGAATCAAACAGGTTTTACGAAAATCGAATCCTGCTGAATCCACAGATTCAACCATTTTTCTCAAATGGTGAATGTAAAAAGACAAATATTTAAATATTTAAACATTATGGAAACATCTTTATCAATTTTTCAATTCAGATTAAAAAAATTCAAGAATTTTTCTTTAATCTAATGCAATAATACATTCTAAACATTCTTATAAAGTAAAAATACAGTTTACAAATAAAATCCAATAAAATAAACAAGTTTCAAAGAAAATTTGGGGAACAATTTCGCTTACATAACAGTTAAATTTCCAGGTTTTCCATCCTTGAACCAGTGGTCGCTTTCATCAACCAAAATTGCTTCTTTTAAAAGCGCATCTGCATTTGTATCTATTTTCGATAAGTCACAAAAAGCTTCTTCGCCCACAAAACAGATTTCATGACCATTCTTAAAGCGAATAAAAATAACATTTTCGATAAACCACTTTTTCTTCATGAGTTTATTGATATATATACCCATCACTCCTCCACAAAACAAGCTTTAGTTTAGTTTATTTCTTGTCGATATTCCAATTTTCTAGAGAGAATTTTTACAACGGATAAAGGAAAATGATGCTAAACTAACTGGATCAACAAAGATAACGACTTCAACTGTTGCCTTACCAGGAGTATCAAGCCTCACAAGTGGAACCTCTATTGTAGTGCCCGCATCTCGCATTTTTTCTTGAAGAGGTCCGAGCTGAAAAAACTTGACTTGAATAATTCTTCTTTAATTAAGAAAAATTAGTATACACAGTTCGTTTATTTAAAACGATAATAAATATGGGCCAGTCTTACAATAATCAAGGGCTTTTCAAAATTCAAATGCAAAGATCGCAAAATTTCTTGACTTCCACAAATTAAATTAGTTAAATTAATTATTAAGTAACCAACAAAATTCCCTAAGAGTTTATTAACGCCTATAAAATAGAAAAAAAAAACCACTTAAAATGAATGAGTAGTGGAGACCCACATAATATAATATTTTCATCGCCAAGTGATTTTTTATCGAAATAATACAAACTTAACTTTTAACTTAAAGAATGGAGTCAGCCGACCATGAATACATATGTTAGAACGGTATATATAATCCTTCATGAGAATTTAAGCGAGAAATTGCCTCTCAAATGCAAACGAAAAGTGATTTTCTTTTAGAAAGAAATACCTGGGAAGTGGTTATCGCAAAAGCGATTCTCCCGAATCCGCTGCCTCGATCAATAATATCATTAATTTTCTTCCATTCAATATGACACTTAAACGATAAGAACATAAATTTAATCAAAGATGATAATCAACGATTCTTAGGAAATTTAAAAACAACAATTATAATTATACAATTATACAATTATACAATTCATTGAAATATAGTAATTAAAGCATCTTAAAGCAGTGCAATAATTATTGCAATGAATCAAATAAATTTTTTTCTAAATTATTAAATAAGAATTTTTTTATTAATTGTTGGCAAATACAGTAAAATGTTTTTAAATGAAGATAAATGAAATTATCGAAAAACATTTCATAAGATTATAAATTTGAACAAAAATTGGATGTATAAAATTACTTGGTTGTCAGCATATGTTCCAAGAAATTTTTTCTCGCTTATAAAAACAGTTTTTAAGCCGAGTAGGCGCGTCCAGTAATCTAAAAAGATTGTTTGAGATAAAGGGTGCAGCCAGTGAAGCAAATTTGTAGGAAGCTTTATCTAATCAACCATCATAAATATAATAAAATTTAAAAATATATAAAATTACAAAAAAATAGTTGAAGAAATTGATAAATTCAATAAATCCAAATTAATTCTATCATTCTAATTCTAATTAATTTTATCATTCTGATTCATCCTCAAAGAAATTTTTAAAAGAAATAAATTGAAAATAAATATATCAAGCAAAGCAAGCAAGCAAAATTATCCGAACCAACAGTTTTTTTCAAGCAAGCAAAATTATCCGAACCAACAGTTTTTTTCAAGTCGTTCGTATTAAGTGCAATTTTATAAACTGGATCACCGAATCGTTGGCCATTTTTGATAAAAAAACAATGTCCATCAGGATCCTTGATTTCAAATTCATTTTCTGATAATACTTTCACTTTTTTTTCATTCTTACATCGTTCATATATCTGCGACGATTCTATATAAAACCCCTTAAAAGTTAGGATTCAGAAATTAAAATATTTGCAAAATGAAATCATATTAATTTACTTTCTTCTTTTTTTCTTATAACAGCATTACTGGTTAGACTACCTCTGCTAGCCACAAAGGCAAGACGTCTCCAAAGTTCAGTCTAACGCCATCGCTAGTGGTAATAAAAACCATTCCTTTTTCCATCATCTAAGTTCATATATCGCTGGTTCCTCTACACGTTCAAAATCTTTCCTAACTGTATCAGTCCAGATCTTCATTAAGCCTTCTCGCTTTTGACGCCAACCCATCATACAGTTTAGCAAATAACGAAATATGCGTCAACTGCTGTGGCGAGCGACAGAGAACGTGCCCTACCAGCGAAGACGATGCTCTGTGATAAAATTATTAATATAGGTGAGCGAGGATGAACATGATTATTTACTAAATAATCAAAAAAAATTTATAGAACCTCAAAATCGTTTCCAAGCTTATACGAGCCAATAGAATAGTTATAGGTAAGTTCAAGCACAAAATGGTTATCCTCGGCACCATAACCAACCATTGTTTTACTCCATTTGCCATCATACGGTCTGAAAAATTAATTAATACTTCAAGAAATTTCAAACATCTCCCTTACGCATTCACAAAAAATATACTTCAAATAAACATTGAATAGCAAGGAAACAGCGAAGAGAAAGCAATATAAGGATAAAAATAATAAATACCGACATAATTTCTTGCCTAAGTTTGAAAAAAGCTATAAAAAATTATATCAGCATAGGTATTTGGGAACAAAAAGATGAGGATTTATGCAAAGTGCTAACTGTAAGCGATATAGACGAGCGATAAAGCGCTGAATTCGAAGGATAAATATTAAATATAAAAGGAAATATAAATTGTCTAATATTTGTAAGATCTGACTTTTGATTTGGAATGAAAAAAAGGAAATAAAATGGTCTTAGGGCCAAAAGTTAATTTGGAAACTGGCAATTTTTAATTTAATATTTATTGAAAACCAACCAAACAGGCCAAACAGAGCGCAATGCCATGTGCTTGTATTAATAATATCGGTTAAAATAATAACAAAAAAATAATATTAAAATAAAATAAACAATTTAAAGATGAAATAGAGGATATTGCAAAATAAAATATAGTACAATTCGAAATAACTATATGGAAAAAATCGCGATTTCTCACTTCTTGCATGATGTGAATTCTTTAAGTAACAATATAAATGACATTATCTATTTTTTTTAAAAAAATAGCTAGGGATGGCACACAAGCTATGTCGTTCAATAATTTATTCCAGAAATTAATATTACGAATAAAGAAATCATGAGACCTTAGTTAGGTTTCACACATAGATTTTAGTAATTTTAGCCCATTAGTTGTTGGATTTAAATTTGACCTAAAATTATAATATTTTGAACAATCTAATTTAACATAACCATCAAAATCTTATAAGTATAAATTAAATCTTGCTTAATATGACGAAACGAACTAACAGAGAATCCAGGTTATATTGTAGAAGTTTTTTTTTAATTAAAATTGCAATTAGAAGAGAGGCGCTGTATAAAATATTTTTGGAGTCCTTCAGTTATTTTACTTGATTTACGATATCTCAAGGAATAACATGAACATGTAGAATTTTAGTCAAGAATTGGCCGAACGAACGCTTTGTACATTTTGTACATTTTGATAAGAAAATCTTCAGTTTTGTTTTCAAACGAACGAAAAATAAAATTTAATATTTTTGAGGATTTCTTTAATATGGTTCTGCAATGAAGGTCGAAATCGAGATTTTAATTCACGATTATTCCAAGATCGGAAATGTGTGAGATGATACTGATTATATTACCATTAATAAAAAGATTAGGAAAAACGAAACCTTTAGAATTGATATCAAGATGCTTTTTGAAAGGAAAGGGTAATTTGCCTGTCATATAGCCAGCTGGCTATTTTGTTAAGGTTCTCCTGCAGTGGAGATAGGCTATCTGATCTACCATGAGAATAATAAATTTTAAAATCATCATAAAGCATAAAGATAAATAGTAGAATTTAGTACCACATTGGTTATATCATTTATATATAATAGAAAAAGCAATGGCGCAATTCAACTACCTTGGGGAACACCAGATTTAACAGGTTTTGTGTCAGAAAGAGTGTTAAATTTGCTATTTATCAATTTTGCGACGGCTCTATCCTTTCCGATGAAAGTGCAAAATCGGATGTCATTATACATCATTATACCTGCTGCATAACGAACCTGATATCTCTTGCTTATTTCTGGCTTAAGCGTTTTTATGGGAAAGAATTTTTTTGTGTTTTTTTCGATATTCTTCTCCTTGTATGTACCTGAAAAGATAATGTCCGAGCCTTCCTCAAAGCTATAAAATTCGGGGCTTCGCTAAAAACATGTTTTGATATGATGAACTGAAAGGATGTTTTGAGCGCTTTAGGTGCTCCTGGATTCGCATGTTTGGAAGCCTAAACATTTCCTCTACGTATTTCTCCACACTCACATATAACCAAGTAAAAGCCTTATATCTCTCTCCCCCCTCCCCCGGCATATAAGACACATATACATAGATACCTAGCCGTAAATCTTTGATCTAGTTAAAATGGAATCCTAGAAAAAACGGCTTTTACCAATAAAACAAGTGAAAGTCTAGTGGCCCTGGCTGACTTATCTTCACAGATTTACGGTATTACGCAACATAAGCAGCAACTAGATATACTAATGTATCCACTTTTGCTGCGCAAAATTTGGCTATAAACTTCATCTGACCTGTTGAGTTGAGTTTAAGTGTTGAGTTACGATAGAATGTTCCATGTTCATAGGATGAACTGAAGTAGAGGATATTTTGCATGATTTCTTATGCAAATTTATGTGCATACTGAAAAACTGTATTAATAACTGTATTAATAACTTATTTAACTTTACAATTGAGAAATAATAACCAAGCTTCCTTTTTGGTAGTTCTTCTTCTAAGTGAACATTTTCGTGAGCTGATACATTTCTTAGTTATTATTTTTTGCTGTGCTCAAGAGAAAAATATTAGCCGAATCTGCAACAGATAAGGTTTTCTCAAAATATACATCTTTCAAATTAGCCCATAAATGTAATAGCTAGAATCGGCGCTAGTCGATTTTACCACAGCTAAATCTCTTGCCTCTATTATATGGAACAATAGAAAATATTGGTCTCCAGACTTATGGTTCAATTAGATCCCTGTATGTGGACAACGGTTTCGTTGCATCTCTTATTGCCATATCACTGTATTATTTTAAGAAGCAACATCGAAACTTTCATAAGTACACTTGACATTCGTGAACCTAATTAAACGTTGTAGGGAATGTTAAGTCTGCATATAGCAAAAAACTTAGAGAGAATGCGAATATATCGCAGAAAAGTTGACCAGATGTAGACCCCGGCAGGAGTTGTAAACTGTGAAGTATTATAACTTATTTATAACTCATATAGATAAGATCTGCTCCGTTGACGCAGTTTTCACTGTATTTTGATTTAAATAATTTGTTGATTTGGTTGAACAATAATTTAAAAAGCACCAGTTTTCAAACCAAATTTTCACCCTAAAACCATTATATTTTCTTTTTTTCCTTCTAAATTACAGGTCAAATCTTATAAATTAGGTAAATTATCCTTTTCCGGATTCAGCGCATTATTGCCTGTATCACTTTACCGTTTAGTGCCTAGCAATTCCATAACGTCTCAATTTTTTGTTTTCAAATACATATGGTGAGTTCAACACTTATTTTTTATAAGCCTTGATAAGGACGACGGGAATTTATTGCTTTATCGCTATTAAAGTGATTCATCCATTCTTTTTCTTTCCTTGCCACTCAATAAATGTTTTGCAAAAATTAAAAAATGACATGCACGACCTTTCAAGGAATAGATCAGCTGAGGTTATGTATGATATTAACAGTATATTAGCAAAGAAATACCAAAGGAATCTTATAAATTTATATAACATAACCATGATTAACTTGCTTGCACAAAAAAATAATTCAGATCTTGACATAAGAGTTGATGAACATTTTGATTCTCATAGTATGCTAGTTATTAAGAAATCTTCCAAAATATTAAAATTCGAAAAATAATAAAAATTCGAAAAATTGGAATATAAATAATTTTATCTGTTCGAAATAGAACACGTTATATAATTTTTTTCGGATTACGTAGAAGAATAAATTTGTAAAGAGTCTGCAGAAGTTACATTTTCTGATGGAGTCTTAATAAAGATTTAAAAATTATAAATATAAATTAATTTGACCTATATAATCCAACTTATATGACCTAACATAATTATGAGCCATGAGGATCTATAAGGATTTAACAAAATTTTTTTACAAGCTATTTGGCCATTTACAGCCTATGTATAAAACTAAATCATCAGAAAATCTATACATAAAGAACAAAGGTGAGATCTTACTTACTGAGTGAACTTTCACACTTTAACTTCAGCCTAAACTCATTTATTGCCGATATTACTTTACCATATTCTTAATATTAAAATAAATGGAATGAAAAAAAACGAACCCATTGCAAGTTGCCTTACAGCCTTCATCGAATTCTTCATGTCGAAGCACCTCAATTATCAATATTATCAAAAAATAAATGATACCAAAAAAGAAATTCCCAACCATTTCTTTGCCATTCAACCTCTGAAACTTTAGAAGAAAATCCAAGAAAACAACCTTATTAAGAAAATAAAAAAACAACCTTCATTCCGAGCAATTTCACAAAAAAATCATATGAGTGCTTCCGATTGCCAATTTTAAAGACATAATGCAATGACCGAGTCATATGTCCAAATGCAAACACTGAACAAATTGTTAACTAAAACTAAAAGTTATCGAAGGATTATGTTTAAAATAAAATTAGGAAAATGAGATTAGGATGAGGAATTTCCATTTATTTGCACTAATCATAAATTACCAATAAACAATGAAATTTATTTATAAGGCACATTCTAGAATTTTGAAAAAAATAGAAGTAAATATTTTATGATAGATTAATTCTGCTAATTGATGCAGTAATCTCGAAAACAAAAAAATTAAGACAACATAACAAAAAATAATGATTTTTAAAAACAAATAATTGAGGTATAAAGATATTGCGGTAAAAAGGTGCAGAAATATATCAAGAATAAATTCAGAAACAAATGCAGGAATAATTTCAGAGGTAGAAACATATCTTAAAGTTTCAATTGTCTTTTAAATACTGGTAAACAACTGCAAAATCGAGCCTTTTATACTCGGACGTTTTTGCCAAAATTCGATAAATCTGATGTGCTGCAGAACCAAGTGGGATTGGAGTCTGAGTTGCTGTCGAAGCATTCTGTGCTAAACCCAAATCCTGAAATTTCTGATTCTTTTTAATTATCTAAAAGGAAGCTTCCATTAGCTTTCATCATCTAATGATTCATATAGGTAAACTTTGAAGATAAATTCCAGCATTCATCGAATTATAACAACAGCAATATGACGAGACAGAAATCGCTATTGGAGAGACATGGCCTTGAGAATGGAGACGATGGCTCGATTAGGCGATAACAGGAAGCTATTCCTTCTTCATAAAACAATTATAACTCGGAGAACGATTAGAGAAATGGTAAGGGACAGCAATGGCGTGCCGTTAAGAATATTAAGGATCACCTCACAAGGTGAAAAGAATTCTTTGAGGCCAATCTTAACCATGATACGCCATCTATTTACTCAGACATAGCTGATAGTTCGTCGAATCACACGTTTACAATTGCGAATCGTCAACAGAAAAAAACCTCCGTTATCAATAAGCTTAAAGCCAAAAACGTTTCTGAGGAAGATGGCCTCTGAGCTCAATTCTTCAAATATTGTCCATCGTACTTCATAACGCACCTTTAACAAATTTACTTTCTGGTATGGAGAAAGAAATATTACCAGATTACTGGAACAAAGCAATTCTGCTCCCGATTCTCAAGAAAAATGACAGGACATAATAGTGCGACAATTATCGGAGAATCAGCCTACTAGACGTCTCAGCGAAAATTTTAGTTTGTATTTTATCCAATTATGACAATATGGGTCAGCAGAATGCGCCCTAATCAAGCTGGATTTAAACAGGACCGCGGTTGAGCTGACCAGATGTTAAGATTGAATAAGATTAGATTAAATATTAGCAACTCACTGTTACATGTTCAACGACTTTGCGCCTGCCTTCGATTAAATTGATAGAACGGTGCTTTGAAGAATGATGGAATGCGATGCGACGCTGTTCCAGAAAGATCACTCGTCTCATAAAGGCAACATTTTATTAGTGTAAGTCGACGCAGGTATGTGTATATGGAGAAACTCCTTCGAAATAAGAAATGGTATCCGTCGATCCTTTCCTCTACAGTATTCAACTATGCGATAGACTGGAAAATGGAAACCGCTTGTCGGTATTCAAAAGATGTACAAATCAATCCAAAGAATCGCAGATTTTAAATATGTTACTGATGTAGTGCTTTTTGCCAACAGTTATAACGAAATGCAAAAAAAACTAGACAATGTGTCAGTAAATGCAGTGAGAATCGGATTCAGATAAAAATAAAACGAAAGCCTTTTTATATAGAAGAAGCTGATAAAATGCATCAAATGCCGGTTGAGAAAGTGTCAGATTTTAAATATCTTGGATCCACCAAATGGCCAGGCAAAAGACGAAATTATAACCCAGATAACGGCAACTAGAAATGCGTTTTTCCGGTTGAGTTAACCAAACTTTTATGGAGCCGTCGTTACGAAATCACCATAAAATCGAAAGTCTGCGATTCTTTCGATTATGCTATATGGCTGAGAGACATGGTCAATAAGAATAGGATATTAGGAAGAAGCCTGCCTTTAATCGCTCACGTCTAAGGTTCATTTTAAGGGTTCGTCGAGTGAATAAAATCTCACATGACCGAATCCAACTTTTTTCAAATACCATTTGTATTAACAGTACCATCATAAAACGCCATCTTTACTGGTTAGAGCAAGTTTTTTGTCGCCCAACATAGGAACTGCCAAATATTTCGTTATTTGCTAAACCTTGTGATGGATGGCATCAAAATGAAGTGGGTAACCAAGACCTGGACTAGAAAGACTTTGAAAGTAAGGGCCCGCAATATATGGACTTAGCCAATGGAAAAAGAGGTGGCTTTTATTACTACTGATGATGCTTGGAAACATCTTACCCTTGTAGCTAGTGGAGCTAGCCTGAAAAAAAATGGTAAAAGCTATTAGAAGAAGAAGAACCGTCTTTTGCTTGGCTGACTCCATTGATTAGAATGCCAATAACCCATCTCCCGAAAATTATCTAGACAGATAGAACAAGTGGATCCCCAGCATTAATCTCATCACTTCTGATAGATTTTCAAAAAACAAGAATTCGTCCTATAAAATTAGTGAATCCTCAAGAATCCGAGCAATGCTAGCGACTCACGTACTTCTACCACCATGTGATTTGTTTGCTCCGATAGCAGCAACGGTGAGCATTCTTGGAAAAGAAGACAACGATCAAATATTCAAACATTCTGTCCTTTAAATCCTTTAATGGATTCATATATGCACCATGGCTTTTCAAATAAATGTATCCTCTAATTATTCCTTCTAATTTTCATCGAAAGTCTTAAAAAGAACTTAAAAAGAAGTCAATAATTTGTGAAATGTTAATCATTTATGCCTCAGTTCGCTTCTCGTTCATAAATATTCACTATATTAGAACCGAACTGTTCGTATCTCTCAGAATTGGCTAATAATCATCATTGGCATAAGAGGGAAGAAATAAAACCAAATACGTGATATTTCTTCCTTGTTCCTTCTATTACAATGAATAATCGAAATATAAACAATATAAACAATGCAAAATACCTTAGCCATAAGCGAAACTTTGAATCCGCCTAAATAATTATTTGAAGACGGTATTCCTTCTAATATATTCGGAACAGGGTTATAAGTATCCGAACTCCAACATCTACCAGAACTTGAATTGATTATTGAAGCTAATCTTTTTGCATCCAAACCCATTCTAGAAAAAACAGAAAAAAAAGATAAAGGTAAATTTTTCGTTCCAAAAAGAATTCAAGATTTCAAAATTTTCTATAGACATAAATTTTCTATAAAAATTTTTGATAAATTAATTATTGTTCATATATAAATTATTATTCATTTATTTTCATTTATTCATTTATTATTCATTTATTCATAAAAAAAAGAAAAAAACTTGCTTAATTCCAAGATTCATGGCTTCAGCAACACCGATCATTTCAATGGCCAAAAGCATATTATTGCAAATTTTCGCTGCTTGTCCATTACCAGTCTTAAATGAATGATTCGCAACGGGAAAATTCAATGACATTTATTAAAATCGGAAGAGCCAAGTGAGAACTGTTAATCAGATTATCTCCATTCTCAAAGTTCGAATATTGCCTCCGATAGGAATAAATCTTTCGTTAAAAAGTCTAACTTCTATTAAATGACTCTTCAGCAAAACTTTCGTCAACATACTAAGAAATATCGAGTGTTAACCACTTATTTATTTTTAAAACGTTTAATGAGCGACAGAATTTTATAATTTTATTAACCTTGCCACAATAAATGATGTTTTGACCCATTAATTTGAGAAGTTCCAAGGTGTTATCGAAAAATCGTTCTTCACCGCCGACCATAAATGCTAAAGTTCCTTTTTCTGCACCAATCACTCCACCACTAACCGGAGCATCCATATAATGTCCACCTTTTGCATTAACCAAACTAGCAATTTCAATGGAAACATTTTGATCAATTGTTGAACTATCGATGCATAAAGTGCCCGGTTTCATCGTCCTGTAACCATAAAGAAAATGAAAATTTCAAAATTTACAAATTTAAAATTCAAACTTAAAATTCAAATCTTTTGACGACTCATTATAATAAATAGCAAATAGCAAATAGTTAAGAAATTTACTAGTTTTAATAAAATCATTTATTAAAATTAAAACTAAGATTACGATAAGACTTACTTTCAACAAATTCTCTGATATGGCAAAAGAAAATAATATCAGAAGACTGGAGCAAAGCAATTCTTTTAATTCCTAAGAAAGGTGACAGGACGAACTGCGACAATTACCGAAGAATCAGTCTAGTAGATATCTCAGGAAAAATTTTCACTTCCCTTTCGCTAAATAGATTCATGGCAACACCAGACAGCAGAATGAGTCTTAACCAAACTAAATTCAGACCGGTACGCGGTTAAGTTAACCAGTTATTTACGCTTTCCATCTCCCTTCGATTCGATTGATGCACCAGTGCGCTGGAAAGTTATGGAATGTGAGGCGCAGAGATTATTCGACTCATAAAGGCATTTTATCAGAATATGTTGATGCAGGTCTGTGTCTATGGAAAACTAACAGACTCTTCCCAAATAAGAATTAATCAAGGCTATGTCCTCTCTCCTACAATATTTAACTGCGATAGAGTCGATAATGAGCATCGCTTGTCAGCACTCAAGAGATATGTCCAGATCATAGCATTACAGATCTTGAATGCGATGATGATGTAGTTCTTTTTGTGTTGACAATTATGAAGAAATGCAAATAATGCTTAGTATAACAATAATAATGCTTAGCATAATTATAACGTGTCAGCAACTAAACGACAATCGGACTCAGGGTCAATGTAAATAAAACGAAAGTGTTATCGTCTTATATACAAGATGCTGATAAAATACCAATTTTTATCAATTCATTGAGGGATTGCCCGACTTTAAATATCTTGGATCCACTTTAATCCCAAATGGCTAGGCAAAGGATGAAATTATAACCCAGATAACGACAGCTAGAAACGTGCTTTTTCGGTTGACAAAAAAATCGCGAAATCACCATAAAGACGAAAATCCGCGTCCATAAACCTGTAATTCGCTCGATCTTGCTACAAGGCTGCGAAACAATGAAAGTGGAGGATATTACGAAGTTATCAGCCTTTGATCACTCGTATTTAAATATATTTTACTGATCCGCTGAGCAGATGAAATCGCACATGATTGTATCCATCTTCGCTCAAAAGCACCTGTATTAATACTGTTATCACAAAGCATTACCTTCGCTGGTTAAGGCACGTTCTTCGTCGTCCACTACAAGAGTTGACGCATATTTCGTTACTTGTGATGGTTAACGTCAAAAGCAAGGAGGACCAATCAAGACATGGACTGATATAAACGAGGAGAACCAATCAAGACATAGATTGATATAGACAAGAAAGATTTTGAACGTATGGAGGGAGGAAGGACCAGCGATATATGGATTTAGACTATGGAAAAAGGAATGGCTTCTATCAATACTAGTAATGGCATCAGACTGAACAGCTTGAAAACGTCTTACCCTTGTAGTCAGCCGAGCAAGCCTAACCAGTAATGGTGAGAACTGTTAGAAGAAGAAGAACTAAGATAGGATGAAAATTAAACAAAAATATTTCAAATGAATTTCAAAATGAATGAAACCTCAAAATGCCATTATCTGCTGTAAATACTTCCATAACGTGTGAACTATTGGGAAGCATCGTTATCAATCTCTGACATTTCAAAGCAATATCACTTGGGTCTTTAGCAATTTCAGCGCCAAATTTCTGAAACATCTTTTATATGAGAGAAAACACAGTCACATTGTAAAATAATTTAGCACTGAAATTCCAAAAAAGAATATCAAATGAATTTTACCCCATAATTGAAAATTGAAAATTGAAAGGTAATAAATCTATCCAACTACTTTGCACAAGTTTCTAGTAAATCCCTCTCGAAAGTTGGCAATCTGAACTTTCTTTTAATTCCTATAAATCCTCTCTAGTATGCCTTTAACTACACAGAATATATAATACAATATCATAAAAGGTGTGCTGCTAAGGATCCACCCAACACCGCTTTTAGTTCCAAGCAAAGCGAAGGGACCCTGTTTCAATGGAAGTATCTGAAAATAGCAGTAAACTCTTTTAGGACAAAAAGAATACTGTTTGTGAAAATTTAGTTTGTTGCTTGCATGATACTCGAAATTAGAAATTGGTGACAATTTAATAATTCTAATTCTTCATTCATTTCTCTGCTTTCTGCTCTGCTCTTTCAAGGACGGCCGTGTACATTCTCCACCTCGCATCCTTTTCTTCTTTAAGCTTTGATATCACATTTGGCTACTGAATTGTTCTTTGAATATCCTCCTAACACTATTCCTTCGTCACTAATAAATCTGTTCTACAGTCTCATAATCTCGTAATTTTCTCTTAACTTTCCCTTCTTCCTTAAAGTTAGTAATAAAAGAGGGTCTCTGTGGCCCATCCAAGGATTATCATCCAGTTACAACCAAAGATGGACAGTTCAATGTGGTTGACTCTTCAATGTTTCAGCGATTAACAAAGGAAATCAAAAAAAAAAAATTAATTGCTTCAAAATCAGCCTTGATATCATTAATCCTCATCGAATCAACATCGAATGCCACAACCCTCTGACCTTTTCGCATTAAATTTTTCGCCATACATATACCCATATTCCCTAATCCGATAAAACCGATCATTGTCCGAACTTCTCTGCAAATATCCCTTTTAATTTTTCTTAATACCAGTTTCACAAATCCTTGCGAAATTTCTAAATAAACTCCAATCTTCGACTGAGCTATTAGCTTACATACCTTACACATTAAAATTTCAAGTGAAATCTTCGCTATTCTGCAAGCTTTTTCAATGACTGAAAATATGAAATTGAAAAAAAAACTCTGCCAGACAGATCAGGGCTTTCTTTTAACTAAATGTAATTAACAAAATATTCCTTATTTTATTGATAAAAAACACAGCATCTGGACTACAATAATCGTAAAGTCAACAGTCATTCTAATCATAAATAACCAGTAAAATCAAATCAAGCGATATAAGTAAATTCATTTGTACTCAATTTTTTCGTTAAGCCAATCGAGAACGACATTGTTTGAATAAATTGTTATACGCTTCACATAGGCTTAAATCCGCCTGGTTCTGTGTACTGAAAATAAAATTTAGATACAAAAAAGCCATACGAGTTTCCTATATCGGCAAATAGACAGATCAGAAAATGACAAACAGTTTGAATAAATTCTGAAAAAATGATAGTTGATAGTTAATTAATTAAACATATAATGACACAAAGATACAATGACACAAAAATTAATCATATAATGACACAAAGATACAAATCTTAAAACCGACCATTCAATGAATTGTTTCCATTCAAATTCGCATGGCTGGGTAGCTGGAGCTGAAGCTGGTGCAGAAGGTGGCGTTACCGCTTCATTCGAACAACCACCACTTCCTGTTAGCATATTACCAACCGCATGTCCCTGCATTCGTAAGTAGTAAGGTCATAGTTAGAAAATACTCAAGTTTAATAAATACGATAAAATGATAGGCTAAGAAATTATAAAAATGGACTGATAAAAGGTTAATCAATTAACAGAACATTTAACACTTGAAACAGATTCGATAGGAGAAAAAAATTGAAGAAAAAACATAAGAAAATGGAGGATAAAAATTTCGGAAAAATGTTTCAAATATCCGCATAAACCGAATTTATTAAGAACATAGACATATGAAAAAATTAAAAAATGATTTTTAAACAATAAAGGAACTATTAAGAAAACAAAGCAATTAAGAAATTTTACCACAGCAGATCCAATGGCAACACCACCAGCTGTTGCAGCCATCTGCCCGAAAAGTCCTGGACCATTTGATGTAGGTGTTGCTGGAGGAACCGTTGCTGGTATCGCCGTTCTCGTCGGTTGCGGCGACGCAGCAGCGTATGCGCTTGGAGACTGAGTTGTCGCATTTGGTTGTCTTCCAGCACTCCGAACAGGTGCTGAAGGTTTTGGCGAAGCCACTCGACGACGAGGCATTTTCACAATCTACATCAATTTAATTGATTTCATTCAGCAACCACTAAAGTATATAAAAAAATACGATATCACCACAGGAGACTGAACTGCCCTTCGATTTAACATCATTGCGACTCCTTTATTTAATGCGGGGATATGAACAACAAATCAACAAGTTGCGGAAAAGGGAAAAGAGAATAATTAAGTAAACTATTAAGCATGCAACGATCCTCGCTAGCAACACGATAGAATAAATATTAAAAAAACCTTAAAGATTAAAAATCAAATATCTTAATTATTTTGGTCCTTATTCATCAATCTTTTCACAACGGATATTCAAGTGCACCTCGCCTGATCTGAACATGTGCTGCGCAAAAAGCCCTTCTGTATTTCCGACCATGTGGCCTTATGGCCCTCTGGTGAAGGATTCACCTCAACCAGCTGTAACGAAAAAAGGTTTTCAGATTGTGGTCATTGGTAATCGTTAGCCTTCCCGTTAAAGTATTGCAACCTATTTATAATCGTTGTTGCGTTCCTCAGACTTGGGTAACTGAATAAATCTTTATTTTTGATTGAGATTATGTAGGAGGACATCATTAATCACATGAAAATGCCACAAAGCAAATAAAATCGAAATGCAACAGCCACCTTGTCGTTAACCTTCCAAGATCAAAATTGTTGGTCTTATACAGTCGTCTCAAATGGAGGTCACCTCTACAACCTTTGCTTCACCGGTGACCTTTCACCTCAACTTTCTAAACTGTGTTCTGCTCATTTTCCCGCATACCAGCAATCTTTGTGGTCAAAAATGGTGCTTGACGTTAAAAGAAGCGTAACCCCTACTCCATATCACAAATCGCAGTTAAAGAGAAAATACCCACCGAATAAAAAACCGTCCCAAATTACACAACGAATCCTGATGCGAAATTTTTATCGATGAAAAAATTACAGCACAAAACCCAAACCTCGTCCTGTACCCCCCCTTCCCCACCAGTTAACCACCTTTCCGAACTCTCTCTTCATTCACCAACTAATCAACTGAACTAATCGCACATTTCGTAATAATCGATAGTGACGAAATTCAACTGCGTGCGTCATCTCGTCATATGACTCGTTGTAATCAATAGAAAATGATTCCTGATCGAGTGAACTGCCGATTGCTCAGTGAGTTCGAAAGATAAAGGCGGCTCGCCTGGCGACTTTCCCCCTATTCCCCGCCATGCAATCAGTTCACGTAACCTGACTTATGGAGTTAAATTATTTTCACCTTTTATCGAAAACCTATTTACAAATAAAACGGAGTAGATAGTGTTTTAATGAATTAAAAATAAAAATATTTAAAAAATATCTAAAAAAAATGCCTATGAAATGCAAATTAACGAGCAGATTCCTCATATTTATGATGAATGAATTTGGAATAAATCATTAAATTTCAAAAATTTACGAAAAAATGCCACTGAAAGGCACTCTTTAGCAATAATTATTCACAAAACCAAGCAAACAATATTGAGAAATGGTCCCATTCGGTCCAAATAAATAAAACACCGCTAATAATAACGACAGGTATTAACGAAAAGCGAAATGCGTAAGGGAAGCGACTCAAGAGCAATTCAATCAACCAGAGGACCGAATAAAGGCAACAACTTTATGGACTTTGTGAATAAACCTACTTTTTTCAAAAAAAACAAAAGACAGAAGCAAAATACATCAAAAAATAAACGCGAAACAATGTGATTTGTTCCAATAACTAATGAAAAAACTCCAAGATTTGTCATGCAAATTTACACAAGTTCACCCGAATAATTATTCATTTTTTTTTAATAATAACAATCCAGTTCCCTTCTTCATAGAATGACTTTTCCACTTCACATCCTTCAATTTTTTCAACCAACGCTTCCAATTCTCCAGCAACGAATAAATGGTAGTACCTAAAAATCGGATATTTTCTAAAATCTGTATCTGTTACAGTTTTATGAAATGTTAATCAAAAATTGCAAAACAAAGAATAAATAATGACCTAAGGTGATGATTACCACCGGCATCCTGCCAAGGAACCAACATATCCTGCTGTGTGAAATCGCTTCCCTCGTGAACTCGTAATCGACCATTGCCTTCTCTTCGATTCATTTGAACATTTTTCTTTTTTGCACGCATTTTAAGGTATTCCGAGATGGTATCATTCATTTTTTGTTCCATAGACCATACGGTTATGCAAGCGCGACAGTCCTTTCTCAATATTCTCAGTATTTCCTCAACTGCACGTAAACTGAAAAAATGAAATCGAAAAAAACGTTTTAACCGAAAAAGATTAAGCAAAAACATAGGATATGCATCTAAAAAATATATTGGGTGGATGCAATAAATTTTTTGAATATTTCTTATAATCCACTAATAAATGAGTATAATAGAAAAGAAAATTTGGGCTTAAAAAGATAAAAAAGTAAATGTCGTATAAATGTCGACTTTGGGAAAACTTTTAAAATAATTAAAGACGAGCTCAGTAATAGCTATAGCATAGATTATAACTAACTACAACTGTAATTCAAAAATTAATTGTAAAACTGATGGAATTTACTGCGCCCTATAACATAAAGAGTTGCAGCTCCTAATATGCCATAGGGCTTATTTAAAAAGAATATAATGAATGATAACAAAAATATAAAGTATAAAAATATCATAGTTTTTGAAAAAATCTCTTTGCTAAAATAGATTATATATCGATCTCATAGAAATAGCATAAATCTTAATTTATAAATTTTAATTTATAAATTTTAATTTCCGCCAATGCTGAAGTCGACTGATAAGCTGGTGAGATTCCAGCGATAACGGTCCCGACAATGTGGCTGGATGGTAATAAAGAGAGGGAAATTAATAATGACTGAAAGGGAGAACCTGTCACCAGGGCATACAGATTAGCTATAAATACTTTGGTATCCCACAGTCACATGACAACCACGATGAGGAGGCAAGGAAAAATGTTACACCTAAGCATCACCAAAGGACAAGACAAATTTTGAAGAGCCAGATTAATGCGAAGAACAAAATCCATACCATAAACGTGTACCTGCCAGTCATCAAATACACAGCTGGCACAGTGAGGCCGACAAAGAGAGATTTGGTGGCTGCGGATGTGAAGAACCGGAAACTCCACACTATGAACGGGAATTTCCACTTCAACTATAACACCAAAAGAGTTTAAACCAACCGGAAAGAAGGGATTGGGTTTGGCTATTGTCAAACCCACTGTCTTGAATGAATGTATTGAATACAGGAAGCACTGAGGAATACACCAGTAATGCACCAAAGGACTACTGAGAGAAAGCATGAAATAGATTGTCGCTAAATGCGATATTTATTGTAAATATGAATTCAGCGATCTCATCCGCCAAAAGAGTTATTTATTCTTTAAATTGACTTTATTTCTAATTGCTTGTGAGGCCAATTCCTTTATTCTCTAATATTTAATTTCCAAAATGAGACTGACCTCATAATTGCATTTGTTTGGAGATGCGTCACGCCTGCCAAACACATTATTTTTGTGGCCAATGCGATTGAGTTGGCCCCAATTTTCATATTATAACAATTTTATTTTTATTTTCTTATTATCGAGACTCGATGTTTATTTTCTTTTGGAATTAATTTGTATAAGTATTGTTGATATAAGTATTTGTATAAGTATTGAAATATTCCTTTTCGTTCTTTCTTCATTCTTAATTTTTATTATTCTCCAATTTCTTTCGTTTTCTTTTATTATTTTATTTTGGTTTAATAACACAGATCTGAGATAGAGAATAAAATTTTTATTGATACGTGCGGTGATCAATATTTCTACTACTGCCCTGATAAAGCAGTCGGATCAAGCGGATCAAGCGTTTTCTGAAATATTAATGCGTGATAGGCGAGCATTCATTCCGCTACTATCACAGTTTATTATATTTTTTTTACAGACAGTGGAGAAAGACCAAGCACCATACAAAGCAAGACCATCCATGGCTTTGTTATTGTCTACAGTTTTGTGTGGAATTCGACTGTAGAAGGGTCGAACTTTTACAGATACTCGACATATAGCTGAAGTATCTGACACTGACAAATCCCAGCGGTTAGAAAAAGCTGGAATAACAGGCAGCACAGATCATAGCTCAAGAACAGGCATATTCATCATATAGAATTTAAGATGCAGATTGTGCAAAAATGCTTTAGAAACTGTCCGATGTAGTGGGCAACATAATAAATGTAAAATACAATAGCATATACTGAGAAGCATAACCAAGCAATTCGAATTACCTACGAAAATATCTGTAAAGCATAGAGATAGACCCTTTACGCACATAATAGGAAATTGCACATAAAACCGTAAACAATAACAAAGCCAAGATTCTGTGGGATTCCCCCATCAAGGCGAACAAACGAGTATTGGTGAATCAGGTACTGTGATAACAGAAATTCAACATTGGATATACAATGTAGTGGCGGGAACATTAACAAGAAATGAAAGAAGCTAGAAATAATACAGGAACTAGAGATGTGGGAAGAAAAAATCAAAGGAATCTCAATGATAACAGGAGCACTAGAAATTGTAAGCCCTAAGCTAGAAAAGTCGTTTCAACAAAATCCAGAAAAGATATCGGGGATTTCTGTCGAAAAAATCGCATTTTAGGAATAATTAAAATATTGCAGGAAACTTCAAGCTCCCAGGCCTCTGACAGAGGTTGAGGATAACCCATATCATACAGTGAGTGCTGACTAGCCCTCTATACGTACTTCCATAGCCAAATGGTTTCCTGGTAAAATTTGTCCACAGAAAAATAGAGTGTTCATTAAAAAATATCGTAGAAATATAATATTGAAAACAATACAATATAATATAGAAATATAATATTGAAAAAGATAATATTGAAAACAAAATCCACAAATAAAACATAAAAATGAAATTCGAAAAATCTAAAAATTGGAAAAAATTCGAAAAATCTAAAAATTGGAAAAATAAACATTTATATAGAATATACTGAATATTATATGAAATAGAGTTTATATAGAATATTATACTACTTACCGCCTTTCATATGTGCTGAAATGATGGATGACTGCGATTGAGATAATAGCATCGGCACAAGAATCCTTGAAAGGTAATGATAAGGCATCCGCACAAATAACATTGCAACCTTTCGTAAAACTGATTTCACAGAGAGAATAACAAAGATCACATCCGATCTTAATTATGCAATTTAATTAAATTTCTTAAAATTTCCCGTTTAAAGAATAAGATACACCAGGACCAGGATACATAAGAATAAGAATCACCCATTTCCACAAATTACTTTTTATACTAATTAAAGGTAATACCATATCACCTTGATCAGTTCATTATTTCGTATCAAATATTTGCCATTGCCACATCCAACATCAATTAGCAAAGATGATGGTGAAAGTTCATTAAGAAAATTGCTAACAGCCCACCACTGTGCATGCCTCGTTTTATCGAAATGCGAAGCAATCGCTTCATAAACCTATAAAGAATGAAAATTACAAAAAAAATTTATTTTTTCTTTTTTTTTTCATTCAGATTATTCGCAACTCAATGGCATACCGTTCTGACATAATTTTTCTCGATGGTGATTCCTTGCTCAGCGGTTTCTGGTATTTTCATAGATCCATCACGGTCCCAATCACAATATTCCATAAATGAACATTGGCACTTTTGTTTAGCGATATTTCGGAATGTAAAGGATATTCTGTATGTTCGCTGAATAAGCCGATTATTTTCTGGATTGACATCATATTTTCGCTTTGCTATCCTGAAATTTGAAAAAAATTAAAAATATTTTACAAAATATTTCTTGGCTTAAAATCTCGACCTTTTTATAATTATTTATAATTTGAAAGTAATACCCGTGTTTCCATTTATACCTCGATTCTCCCTTCATAGCAACTAAACTATATCGCGGAAGTAATATTGGATATACTGAACATGAGTTTGCAAAATCTCGGAACTCCATCACCAAATCTAAAAAATTAATAAAAAAGAAAAGAAAAAAGAACTAAAGAATACATATTAATATACATCTTTCTTTTTTATTTGACTGTTTTGTGTTTCATGGACTGAAATTATTCACTAAACTGAACTTTTTTCAGCCTTTTATTTTACCAGGTAAAACGTCTACAAAAATGGTAAATATTTCTCGTGACGAAGAAGACTAAATTATCCTACCCTTAAAAAACTTTTAATTTTAAAATTTTAGAAATTTTAAAAGCTTGAATAGTCGGAGAAAGGCGTACCGGAGAGTAAACTAATAGAAACAATTGTATCCCCAAATGAAGAATGAGTATCAACATGAGATGGAATACCATTTCCTTTTTCATATACATTGACCGTTAACTGATCCGGTCTTTTGCTAAATATGCCGAATTTCAGCATGCGATCGGTAATCGAATTACATGAATCAGGAATCGGCAAGTCAGCTCGTTCGTCCGCTTCATTCGTATCATAATTGAAAACATATCCAAAATGTAACACTTTGCGAGATTTCAAGACTTCTTAACAAATTAAATGCGTTCAAAATCGAACCGAAATTATAAACAAAATATGAAAAACAAATACTTCCTTCGCTGATATACTTTTCAATGGACTGCATTAAAATTTTTTCTTCTTCAGCGCTAATAAAATTTTTGTATAGAAAAAGACCGGAAGGAGGAATTAGCGTTCGGCTGATTCGAATTGATGGCACTTAAATTACAGTTTTTTATTTTTCACAATCATTTGTTTCATTTCAATAATTAAATGAAAGAATGAAAGAAGGGCGATTATAACATAGTGAAACCAAATAAACGAATTGGAAAAAAAGCAAAATTGAAAAAAGCAAAAAATTGAAAAAATATTAAGATGCTTAACAATTAACGACTTAATATTTATTTGCTGGTGAAAAAACGACACAGATGTGAAAGGAAATTAATAGATGCGGAGTTCTCTTGAACTTTTAATTTTTTTTTTTTACCAAACAACTAAAATAAAATTAAAATAATTAATTAAAATTAAAATAAAATTAAGATTAAAATTAAAATAAAATGAATTAAAATTAAATCAACTAAATTAAATCAAATTAATTAAATTATAATTAAATAATATATATAATAATATATAATAATATATATTATAAATATATATATATATATTAAATAATAACATATGTATATATATATATATATATTTCATGTATATACACATAATCATATATATATTTTTTTAAATTTCATTGTCCATTTTATTATTTTCTTCAAATTTAATTTTTTTTTTGTCTTTGGCATGAGTAAAGCTGCTATTATGTCAAGTGGCTGCTGGGAGCCCACCTGTAACTCTATCCCCAAGTGACTCTATGATGAAAGGGTCAAATATACTTCATACGGCGTCCGCGTCTTCTAATGCGCATGATACTTCGGTGGTACATGCGATAAGTATATAAGCAATCCGGGTTTAAAGCAATCCCAAGGATGGTAAATAAAATGTGCTCTCAAGCCAGGGTAATTGCTCGAAACCTATCAAGAAGGAACAACCCTCTACACGCGCGCCGAGGTATTAGCCGTATCAGCGTGGAACGTTAGAACGCTTGACGTTGCAAGCCAAGCGATCACTGTCCACACCCTGTCTAGGTATCGTGCGGATATCGCTTGCTTGTCAGAGGTCCATTCCTCACTTTGGGTCTTCCTCACTTTGGATCTCGAGAAATTATTAATCCTGGTTCAGAGCAGAGATACTGGCTATATCACTATGCTTCGAATAACTCGGGACGAAATGGCGTAGCGATTGTCATGCCTGACAAGGCCCATTCCGCTTTCATTGACTGTAAACCGGTAAACGACCATATGGTCTATGTCCGTTTTAAGGGTAAATTCTGCAATATTTCGGTCATCAATGTCTATGCTCCAACGCTGACGGCAGATGACCGTGATAAAGACAAGTTCTATGCGGAGCAAGGCGAGACAGAAATCTCTATTGGAGTAACATGGCCTCAAGAATGGAGGTGGCGGCTCAATTAGACGACAATAGGAAACTATTCTACCTTCTTCACAAAGCAACTATGACTCGGGGATCAGTGAAATGGTAAGAGACAGCAATGACGTACTAATTAAAAGTATTAAGGATCGCCTCATAAGATGGAAAGAATTCTTTGAGGCCAAATTTAACCATGAAGCGCCATCTTTTGCCCCTGATATAGCTGATACGTTTGCAGTTGCCAGCCTCCAATAGAAGAAGAAATAATTTCAGTTATCCATAAGCTTAAGGCCGACAAAACTCCAGGAGAAGATGGTCTTCGGGCTGAGCTTTTCAAATGCTGTCCATTGTCCTTCATAAGGCACCTTCAACAAATGTACTCTTAGTATGGAAAAAAGAAATATTACCAGATGATTGGAGCAAAGCAATTCTGCTCCCAATTCTCATAAAAGATGATAGGACATACTGCGACAATTATCGAGGCATCAGCCTATTAGACGGCAAAAATTTTTGCTTCCCTGCTACTTCAACAGACTTATGGAAGTATGAGACAGCAGGATGCGCCCTAATCAAGCTGGTTTCAGACCAGGGCGCGGTTGTGCTGACCAGATATTCACGTTAAGAAGGGTGTTGGAACATCGTTTCAAATATTTGCAACCCACTGTCACGTGTTTCATCGACTTTGCGGCTACCTTTGGTTCAATTGAAAGAGCGGCGCTTTGGAGGATGATGGGACGTGGATGGTGTTCCAGAGAAAACCATTAGACTCATAAAGGCATTTTATGAGTGCACGTCGGCGCAGGTCTGTGTATATGGGGAGCTGACAGATTCATTCCTTCGAAATAAGAACATCAGGGCTGCGTCCTTTCCCCCACAATATTCAACTATGCGATAGACTGGATAATGGACACTGCTTGTCTGCACTCAAGAGGTGTCCGAAGTAGTCCAAAGCATCGTATCACAGATCTTGAATACGCTGATGATGTAGTTCTTTTTGCTGACAGTTATAACGAAATGCAAGTAATACTAAATAACGTGTCAGAAACTGCAGCAAGAATCGGATTCAGGATCAATGTAAATAAAACGAAAGTCTTTTTGTTTTATGTGCAAGAAGCTGATAAAATCTTTTTTTTTGTAAATTCATTGCCGGTTGAGGAAGCGCCTGATTTCAAATACCTTGGGTCCACTCTAATACCAAATGGACAGGCAAAAGATGATATTATAACTGGGATCACAGCAGCTAGAAATGCGTTCTTCCGGTTGACGAAACCTTTATGGAATCGTCGTGAAATCACCACAAAAACGAAAGTCCGCATCTATATGGCCGTGATCCGTTCGATCTTATTATATGGTTCTGAGACATGGCCAATGAGAGTAGAGGATATTAAGAAGTTATCTGCCACTTTTGTCTAAGGTATATTTTAATCGCCGAGTGGATAAAATCTCACAAGATTGCATCCACCTTCGTTCAAATACCACTTGCATAAATAATGTTATCACAGAGCGTCGCCTTCGCTGGTTAAGGCACATTCTCCGTCGTCGACCACAGGAGTTGACGCATATTTCATTATTTGCTAAAGCGTTTGACGGTTGGCGTCAAAAGCGAGGTGAGCCAATCAAGACCTGGACTGATACGGTGAAAAAAGATTTTGGACGTATAGGTGGACCAGCAATATATGGACTTAGACGATGGAAAAAGGAATGGCTTCCATTACTGTCGACGATGGCATCAGACCGCGCCGCTTGGAAGCGTCTTACCCTTGTAGCCGTTAGAGCCAGCCTAACCATTAAAGGGCTGTTACAAGAAGAAGATGCGGAGCACGTCAAGTGAAGGCGACGAACTAAAAGATGGCAACTAATATGGATCGAAGGAGAAGGAGAGGGAAGAAAAAAGCACTTGTCTACCGATTATAAGGCACCTGTCGACTTTTCTATCTTCAAGCGCTACAACATGTTATTTTTATCCGTAACAGCCACTACTGTTAGACAAACATGCAAACATACCCACCCCGCAGCACCGCATCGAGTAAAAAATGAATAGTCAAGTCAAGAAAACTTACATTTTTTTAAATATGCGATATAAAATGGAAGAGCGTTTTTGCCGAGCAAGGGCGATACTTTTCCATGCAACGCCTTATAAGCGAATTCAGCAGATTCAGCTAAATCGAATGATACAAACGAATATGGCCGCTGATTCGGGAAAACTGTACAAATACAGCTGGAGTCGTATTCATGAAAAATTCTCTCTAAATTCTCGAGTGAGACACCACATAAAACGCTGCTATTTCCAACAAATAAATGCTAAAAAAACCTGAACTAAAGTGTTGAAATAAGTGCAATTTGGCATTTAATAACAGATTTATTCCCAAAGAATCGAATCCACGGTGATCTGATACTGACTGGACCAAGGCGCCACTCGATCACTGAGTACCAAGGACACCACGTACACCAAAAATATTTTAAATCACTTGGTGAAAAATTTTTTTTAATAATGGGACTAATCCAATAAACACTAACTGCACAGCCTCTCAACTCATCACCAACAATTTGCTCTGCTCTATGTCGTCTTTTTCAGCATTCTATAACAAATGGCCTGATAAGGTGAAAGGATGACGGAGTGTTGAACAACGACGAGAGGCGGCGGCAGACGTCAAGCACGAACACGGAGAGACTCGCTAAGGGCCCCGCTAACCGACTAGTGACCGAAAATCTTAATACGAACCCTTGTTGGAATATCGGAGACTTCTAGATTCGAATCATACTTTTCCGCCTGCGCGAGACATTTCCGCAGTTTCCGATTCAATTTTCGTTCGTCCATTGCTTTAATAGGATATACTTTAGGAAATGAGCCATAACTAAAAGTCAGTTTATAAATTACTAAAGGTCGGCTATTGTCATCAAAAATTTCGTCCGAAAATTTGAATTGTAAAGATTACTTTCATAAAGTTGCAGTTGAATAATGTTGAGGGCGTTGGCGTCAAATGATTTGGAAATTGAACTGTTTTCTTTAGCCTTTGTTCGAGTAATTAAAATTTAACTATGAATTAATTAATATTGTTAACAAATTATTTGCTAATATTAAAAAATTAAATAAAAAACAATTTTTGAAATAATAAAAATTGCAAAAATTTGGTGATTGAATGGCTTTTTTTAAATAAAATTTATTAATTTATTAATGAAATTTATATTCACAATATTTCGAATAAGCGAAAGCGATAGCAGTTTAAGTGGAAAATGGGTGGGGGGAAAAGGAGAAAGGGAAAAGGAGAAAGGGAGGAGGAGAAAGGGAAAAGGAGAAAGGGAGGAGGAGAAAGGGGAAGGGAAGAAAAGACAAATCCGAATGAAAAGATTTGATGGGAAAAGTGTAAAATATTTCAAACGTCACTGTTTTAATGCTTTTTATTTTGTTAAAGTTTTCATTATTATTAAATTTCCAAAATCTTTGTGTGGTCAGTGATTTGTTCTTCTCGTTCTCCATGTTTTATTCTCGTAGGACAGTTTTCGTCATAGGTGAAATGCAAATGAGTCCCCAGCAGCGGACCCCATTTTTAAAATCTTATAGGTCCATTGGCATCTACGAATCGAAATCGCATTGCAGTGTTCCTAATGCTTAATGTTAATCGAAGTGGTGTATCAGCACTTCCTTTGCGTTTCGTTAAATTATATTTATTCGCAGGTGAAATATGTCCAACGATATGTTACCGAAACATAGTGTTATCAATGGCGAAAAGTTGGACAGTTTGTCATATTCATTTGATGGTTCGCTTTTTTCTATTTGGAAATCTCCTTCGAAGCATAAATTAAGCATAAGAATTTGTGCATTAAATCGGAAATTTTTATAAACAATTATGAATTTGTTTTTAGAGTCCATTAATTCAGTGGCTTAGTGGCAAGATGGTTATCATCGAATGGCTCGGGTCCGAATCGTGTCGACGCACCACGCTTCGGACCCAATGAAAAAATTAAAGCGAGATGGAATGGCCTATTGAGCTTTTGCTTGGCTTGGAGCACCGATGCTAATATTTTGTCCGGCAGAATGTCCAACTTATTCTCCAAAAGTCCTGGCACTGCTAGTGACTCATCGCCAAGTGATTCCTTAGCAAAGTTTCTCTGGTCCTTAGTTTTTTAAGGAGCGGAGCGAACGTAACTGGATTTTAAAAAAAATTTCAGTCTGTTTAAGGATTGAAAGGGTTAAGCAGGATTTTCTGATTTACAGTTATTAGATTTTATTTTATTTTATTGATTTATTATTAGTAGATTCTATCAAGAATATCTGATCCTTTCACCAAAGAGTTCATGCTGCTTGGGAAAATGACCATTGATACACTGGTCCGCGATGCTATATTTACCAGTTACTGAATTCATTTCGAGCCCCGAGTTATCCGAGACACCACAGTGATATAGCCAATATCTTTACTCAAAACCTGGTTTAACAATTACTCGAGAATCGACATGAGGAAAATGGACCTCCGACAAACAGACTACATCCATGCGATATTTAGAAGGGATGTGGGCTGTGATTGCTTGGCTTGCAACATCCATAAGCGTTCTGATGTTCCAAACAGCTTTGGTCTCCATTTCGCTGCGCTTACAAAGTGTTAGCAGATAGAATCGCCTCCTTTGGCGGGTTTTGAGTAATTATATCGGTTCTCGAGCAAATATGCTTGTGCATCTGAATTATTTTATTATTACATCCGAATCGTATATTTATCCCACCGATTCAGAAGTATCGCGCGTTGGAAGATGCGGACATCATAGAGACCTAACCCTTTCACTATAGAGTCATTTCGAGATACAGGTGAGTCCTCAGATTTTTGACACCATGATAGGTTTACTGCTGTCGAAGACAAAAAAAACGGCGATAATTAAGTGTAAAAAAAAGAAAAATTTAAAAATAATTTTAAAAAATTAAAAAAAAATCAACTTAAAAAAACTTTATAAATATATTTTTTAAAGAGTCCTAACCATTACTGGTTAAATTCGCTCCTCTGGCTTTTTGCATTGGACAAATATGCCAGAGAGTCCCTTGGCGATAGAAATACAGGTGAGTCGCTACCATCAACCGGGTTTTATTGGTTTAGTTCTGCTGGGAATAGAACCTTAGTATCTGCGCCCCGAACTAATTTTTCAGATAAAAAAGAAACTTTTTAATTTAATTAATTTAATTTCATTTAATTTTTAATTTAGTTAAATTTATGTGAATTTGAATGTTGCAGAAATTAGCGTAAATGAATAGCATAGCGAAAACAAAAAAACGACCGCTCAGGAAATAAGATTTGAAGAAATGCATGATTTTAAATGCCTTAGATCCACTGTAATACCGTATGGTCAGGCAAAAGACAATATTACAACCTCGACTACGGCAGTTAGAAATGTGTTCTTCAAGGTTGACGAAACATTTATGGAGCCGTCGTGAAATCACCATAAAAACGAAAGTTCGCATCTATGTAGCCGTGATTCGTTCGATTTTGCTATATGGCTGTGAGACATGGCCCATGAAAGTGGAGGATATTAAGAAATTATCTATCTTTGACCGCTCTTGTCTAAGATACATCTGCGGGTCTGTTGAGCGGATAAGATATCACATGATCACATCTACTTTCGTTCAAATACCACTTGATTTCAAATACCATAAATAATGTTATCACAGAGCGGAGTCTTCGCTGGTTGGAGCAGGTTCTCTGTCGTCCACCACAGGAGTTGATGCATATTTCGTTACTTGCTAATACTGTGACGGTTGGTGTCAAAAGCGAGGAGAGCCAGTCAGACCTTGTCTGATACAGTCAGGAAAGATTTTGAAAGGGGGACCAGCGATATGTGGACTTAGACGATGGAAAAAGGGATTATTACTGCTGGCGTTGGTTCGGGTAGCTTGGAGACATTTTACTCTTTTAGCCAGCGAAACCAGCCTAATCAGTAATGGGGAGAGCTTAGAAGAAGAAGAAAAAGTAAATCATGTCAAATATCACAATTTAGCCTTAAATTCTAAGCTAAAAAAGGCACTCGATTAGTTTTTTTTTATTATTGAAATAAATTACCTTCTGATAATTTATCGCCCTCTATTTTATCTATCGCTCTTTTTCTAGCTTGAAGATAACATTGGCGGAATTAAATATTCATTTCATAATATATTAATGTTTTGCCACTCCTTTTAAAGAATTTATCATTTTCAGTAACAGTTGCCGCATCTGATGAATCCTCTATTGGGAAAGCTTTCTTCAATTTAAAATTGAATACAGTTGACCCTAATGGAGTTCAACGCAGTCACTTTGCTCGTTTACCTGTTGTTGATTATATTCATTTGCTACGACAAGTAGAGGACTTTGCTTGCAGTGGTTTAAAATTTCACAAATGATATTTTTGGTACTTTTTCTGGTATTTCGTCATGTGCATGAAGAGGAGAGTTATGAATAGGCAATTAAGATAGATAAAGATAGAATGTTCAGTATGTTTTGCTGGAAGTTTTATTTTATTTAATCTACATTCGTAATCTAATATTAATTTTCACTCCGCAGTTTTCTCATTAGTAAAATTATCAAAATTATTTTGTATTTTATATTTGAAATTTGTAATTTATATTTACCCTAGGGGTTCAGATTTAATGAATCATTTTAATAAATTTGTGAGATGAGAGAGAGCATCAAGCATATGCGTGCATTCCATTCTAATCTTTACGCTTCTTGTTAGTTAAGTTTTGATATTGGTTTTGTGTAATTTTAATTTATAATTTTTGTCTTTTAATTATAAAAGAAATTTATTGAAATAATTAAAGTTTTCCACTATATTGCAGTAGTACTTCAGACCGCCGAAAATGTTTTTGTTTTTATGAAAGATACTTTTTTACGGGAGACGAAGAAGAATGATTAGCTTTCGATAAAAGTTTTTCAGTAGTAACTGTCAATGGAACTAATCAAACGAAGTGTCGCTTATGCTCACTGCGACTTTCATAGATCACTGATTTTCATTCCTTGTTTTACAAGATTTTTTAGCATTTTATAAGTTTCTTAGGTTTTACAGACGTTCATTAATACAAATGCAAATATCATTAGTATAATAGTATAATACAAATGCAAATATCATTGCGAACTTTTCCGAGAAATTTTATATATTAAGGTTGTTGAGATTTTAATGATTTTTATTTCCATATTCATTGTCAAAGTTCAAAAAATTTTTTGCAGAAATAATTCTTAAGAGCCATCAAATTCGTCGAAATCACGTACCGAATGCCGAGAAGTACTCGATTATTAGCCGTCGCCTACGTATTAATATTGGCCGAAGCCCGAGTTACATGGTAACATGTGGCCTTTTGTTGACCTTTTATTGATAGTTGAGTTACACAATAAAAAGAAATGGAGTGATTTAGAAAAGGGGAAATGAAAATGGTACGAGTGTGGAATCTCGCCAAATACGTTGTCTAAAAAGGAAAAATTACCCTTCAAACTTAACTTTTTCAAAATTAAAAAATCTACTTAATCCCTTCAAATTTCTCGGATAATTTTTCTGCATTTATTTGTGCTATTTCTTATGCATATTTATTGGCTGATTTCGTTGATACTTATCCCAAAAGCAGTCATTTTACTAAATTAGTTGCAATCTCTCGCCGCTATGCATTTTTAATAGTTTGTTTATTTCGTCTTCGCAGAGGATGGAATGAATGAATGAATGAATGAATGAATAAACGCGAGAATCCTTTCGACGAAATCGATTTAACAAATTATCATAGCTCACTTAATCCTTCATCGTTTCCCTATAATAATAATAATAGTAAAATTGCTGAACGATTTTCGTTAGTGTCTGATCGTCGAAAATTTATTATTTCGATAACCAGGAAATGTATCGTTTAGCAGTTATCACTTTTAAGGCAAATTCGGTGATTTCTAATTGAAATTTCAGGTGTACGGAAAACACAATATTGTAATTTATTCTACTCGAATCAAGTGAAAGTCCGTTTTTTTAAATTATTAAACGGTGGAATAATATTCGGCTTCTTAAAATCAAAATTTGAGTCAATTTCTGAGCTTTTCTACTCAGAAAAATTTATCTAATTTGTCTAAGCCACAAGTCTAAGTTTTGCTTGCCATGTTATGAAATCCAACTCAAAGCGCCCATAATTTTTTTATATTTTTTATAAAAATGACGGTATTTCCATGATTTAACTGAATGATGGATCGAATAGTTTAGTTGAAGTTTTTTATTTTTTTATTCCTTGATTTTTCTTTCGGCTTTAGTGGGATTTTTTCTCTTTGTTTGTTACTCTTTGTCACAAAAAATCGCAGTTCTCCATTTTCGACTCTTTTTGGCGAAATATTTTTTAAAATCTCTTTTAAATAATTTTTAACTTTTAAATAATTTTTTGGAAATTATTTTTCTGATCTGAATAGATAACAGATTTCCCTTCATCATATAACACGCTATTAAATTTTTAAAATGTATATTTTAAATAATATTTGAATATTATCAAATATTTAATATCATTAATCAAAAATTTATAAAAAAAAAAATAGCACAGATTCAATAGAGCAAAAAAATTACTAGGAAATTATATTCTATTGCAAAAAATGAAGGGAAAAGAGATCACAGTATCGAGGAAAGTGCCGATTGCCATAATACTATTATTTTTTCTGAAAATATAACTGCTAATTGAGAATTTATTAATTAATTTTGTCATTAAATTAAGTCTTAGCACTTTATTTATGTAATAAATAAAATAGAAAAGATTATTTATAAATTTTTTTCAGTGAAATTTATAAGGGATTTTTTTTAGTGGAATTTATAGGGAAGAGAAACAGCCTGAGGATAAACGCATCCTTAGTGAAATTATATTCTATTGCAAAAAATGAATTATGAACAAATTATGAATACAAATTATGACCGAACAAAGTCAGTTGGAAGTATATTCCTTGGGCTGAAGGCTCTTTCGAAAAGAGAAATTGTGCCATCAAAAATGATATTTGGACAATTGGTGGAGTATCTATGCCTCTAGCTGCAGGCAACTTTCTAGCAGAAAGGACTTATTCTCGTAGTTAAAACCAGACTAAATCGAGGAATTGGAAGAGAAAAATCCCTTTTATTCATTGCTGTCCAAGAAAGATGAATTTACGGCTAACAAAAATAATAAAGGCTGAAAGTTTCAGTTTTTGAGATATGAATTTATCCTACAGCAGCATAAGAGATTATTGTTATTTTATTTCAGCAATAGTTCAGAGACACCAACTTCCGAAGAGATTTTACAAAAAAGAAATCAAACCTTAGCAGCTCCTTCACTTTTTTTGCTAGATTGTGATGTTTTTCTTGCATTTGAAGTAGATTTACTGCCGATGTCACTGGGCTTTTTTGAAAGGGTTTTTTGTGCAGGAGCAGTTCCGGCTTTTTGAGCACCTTTTGCAGTTGTTGCTGGTTTTGATAAGCTTTGACTCGTCTGTCTAGGTGGCATACCCTACAAAATCAATAATCAATGATCTCATGAATTATGGCTTAGAATCCATGGAATTCATTAATTGCATCAACAGTGTATCCTGTAACAGTGCATTATTACTAACAAATGTTTTCAAAGCAAAGCAGTTACTTTTTTAGCAGCTTCCTGAAACACAACACCCTTGGCTTTTGGTTGCTCCATGGGAATAGTTATTGGAGGAATAGATTGAGAAGATTGTTGTTGTGAAAGTATTTGCCCTGGTGTCATCTGTGGGGGCATTAGAGAGTTTGGTGGAGATGTATGAAGAAAATTCGATGGAACTAAACCGCGTATCCCATTTAATTCACCCATGTAAAAACCATCTTCATCCATTTCTCCGTAAACTGTAATTATATCACCAGCATGAAATGAAAGCTCGACCTGGAACAAGTATAATAAGTAAATAGAATTTAATTTCGGTGATTATGAAGCGATGAAAAAAAGAGGGTGAAAAATTTAGAGAAATTTCACTGGCAGTCTGCTTCAAAAATATTTAGCGGAACAAAGTTGAAGGAAGTGCTTACTTGTTCAGCATCAACATTCGGGCTCAACTGTCTAGAATCATAATCGAATTTTGCCACAAATTTCCTAACAGCGTTCTCACCGTTAATTCTACCATATCTGAAGTGAAATAAATTTTGAATTATATCAATATTTATTTCAATAATATAGATAATTTACAACAGATACAGAGGTTGGAGAAGTTGGAGATTAAACTGTACTTATGAAACCTAAAATGATTTCCTTGGCATAGGAGCCTTACTCTAAAAGCCTTACTGAAATGGGGCCAATTAAAAGTGGTGAGTGCCGTTAGAACAAGAATTGTTGAAGTAACAGAGGCAACGAAAACTTTGGTCTTATGTGGCATCTGATAAACATTCAACAACTCTATTTTAGATAATTTTTGGTATTCGTGGTTTAAAGCAGCGGTTCTTTTTCTGTTTCATGCGTGTCCTCATTCACAAAATTTTTACTGACAAACAAAGAAGAATTGAATCGGAGCTCAAAAACGTTAAGAACTTAAAATGAAGTTTTTTCAAATATAGTTTTGTTCCTTCAGAACTTCGGTATAAAAATAAAACAAATATTTATAAAACTTAAAAAGAAAAGTAGAAAAATAGATTATGAAATGGAAAATTTCCATAAATTTTCAATCATCCTAAATTTAATTTTGAAATCCAAAATATTTTTAAATTTTGTTTTGTTTCAAAGATTTCCGCTTTGAGCTATGACGAAAACTTTCGCATAATTGGATGGAAATTCGTTGAATATAACCGATACTCTCCTTTTATAAATTTCTTCAATTAGGATTTGTGTGTGAATTTACGTGAATTTATTTTTTAAAGTAAAAACATAATAATTTTAATTTTTAGCTTAGAATGGTCTATTAATAGCTCTGTGGTACGCTTCGGAGTTCCTGTGGCTTCCCATTTCTCCAAATTTTTCCTATAGTTCGAAATGTTCCATGGTTCCCTTTAGAACCACTAGTTAAAAGAACTAAGGATTTTAGAAAAAGGGCGTCCAGCATTACCCTATGATTTTTCGTTTCGAATTATTCCCTACAATTAGCTAATTACTCAATTACCTGGAATCCTCTACTGTTATATCGGAATAACGTTGATGAGCCTGTCCGACTAAATAATTATCTCGATATGATTCCTGGCTCCTCTCCTTACTATAATCACGTTCTCTCCTATCACATACACGCTGAGAAGATGGATCTCGGCCACTATTATATGCTCGATCGTCCATTTGCCTGATCATTTGCTCTTGTTCCTTCCTTATATCTCGATATTCGAATTCTCGTGTTTCACGTTCCCTATAGTCGCGAGTTTCTCTGAAATATTGTAGTTTTTGATTGAATTTTCTATCGGCTCAATGGTATTTCATATAATTTAAAAAAATAGCTTTAAAAAACTTTTTCTCCTGGTTAAGGCTTAGAGTTTTCTGGCTGACATTATCGTGATTTTACCTATAATCGCGTGATCGTTGGTCGTCTCTTTCATCCCGTTCTTGATCTCGTTCACGTCTCATGAGGCTTTGATCCCTAATAAATCTTCCTTCTCTTTGATCTCTTATATCTCTAAAATCACGAATATCACGCATATCCCTCGGATCTGCTTTCATTTCTCGCTCTCTCATGTCCCGCACGTCCCGAATATTCCTCACATCTCTAAGGTCTTTCATGTCACGCATATCTCTTCGATCCACTTCAGCTGCATCTCTTTCCTCCCAGTAATAATCCCCTCTTCGATCTCGATCTTGTCCATCTCGCTCATCTCGATAATAATCCCTTCTTTCTTGTGATTCTCGAAACCTGTAATATAAAATATTCCTTCCTTAATATTTTCATTTACTGATATAGTTGGCCGGATAAAAGAACTGAATTCTATTTTATTTTATTTCACCTTTTGTCCTTATCTTTTGTTTTTCAATTTTATTCTAATTTCTATTTCTTTTTTTCCATTTTTTATAATTAGATTTAATAAGGATCTTCGTATGTTAAAAAAGTTTACCTGTAATCGCGCGGACAAACAAAGTAATCACGAGCATTTGAATATCGCTCGAACGGCTCATCAGGTTCACCTGTGATTGCATATTCACCACGTTCGCTTCTGGAAAAATATTCTCCTCGTTGAGCCATTTCTAATCGCATATCCAAAGGCGCTCTCCGAGAAGTGAAATAATTCAAAGGGCGATTAGGAACTGAATGGTCTCGTCGATCAAGCGATGCGTAATGTTCTTGTTCCATTAGTTGCTTACGATGCGATGAACGACGATCACCAGCGTGATCATAGCTTCTTGATTTTAAAGAACCCCATCTCATTCGTCTAATCGATGGTTCAGGTAACGCATCTGACCGACGCCTTATCGGCAATAAGTCGTCTTTGGCGATTTCGATCACCATATTAGAAGGTACCAGTCCAACTCTGTGGCCAATTTGACCTGTATAAAAACCGTCTTGATCGACATCGCCAAATACCTGCAATATTTTATATTTTATACTCCATATAAATATTTCTCAGCCTTATAAAATGAATGAACAATTGCAAAAGATATTTGAGCTCGGTAAGCTGGTCATTTCTGGTTATGCTTGTTCTATTGGTTATTAGCAGTTTGAAAGTCAGGGAGTTTACTGTTTTACCTGAATTTTTAATGACAGATTTACTACTGTTAGTGGCAAAGTTTGAACTTGATGCTTAGATTGATAATCTGAGCAACAAACTCGATTAAACCCATGCTACAATATTATCATAACATATAGTTACCCGTATGCAATTAATCCTAGCAAAAAATTTAATATGAAGCCAACTATGTTGGATGATATAAGTGAAGCAGCACAGACTATGGTGAAGGACTTCGTTATTCACAATCGGATTCACTAATGAAAGGCGAACTGAGCTGAATCGCTGAGAAATGAAATCATTTTTGCATTTTTGAGAATTCAAAATTACCAATTAATGAAATTGGGGATAGAATGGCTCAGTGGGTTGCTGCTCAATTGGGAGCGGCAATGCTGAGGCTCGATTCTCCGCAGGAGTAAACCTATCCGGGTGATGCTGGCGACTCACCTGTATTTCTATCGTCAAGGCACTTCCTGGCTTATTGTCTAATGCGACAAGCCAGTGGAGCGAGTCTAATCAGTAATGGTGATGACTCTTTAAAAAAAATAATAATAAAATTATTTGTCTTATCAATACCTTAATAAGTTGATGCTTACGAAAAGAAAGTTCTTCTTGTTGAGCATTCGCATTCGGACTCATGTGATGCGAATAATCAAATAATGCGACAAACCATCTGAAAATTAAACTATAACTATACATGTTATCATCATTAAAAATAATCACGATATTTATCGTAAATAGCTTTGATTCTTCAAGAATTCTTAAATCTCTTCCCTTAAAAGATAACTTAAAGATCTTACAATAATTTTCTGAAGCGAACAATTTTAATTAAATAAAATTGCATTTAGTTGAAGATAATTATGTTTCGCACTTATGTCGTTATATGGAAAAATTTCTCTGCTTCAGGGCTAAATGAGCCTAATCAATTTGTTTTTTCCTTCTTAATCATAGATTTTAGCATATTACTTGGTTTAAAAATTTCTCAATTCATTGCAATTATCCTCTAATGAGATTTTTGAAAATATTTTTTTTAATTTTTAAAAAATAATCAGTCGTTTCCAGCAATTTATTGTAATAAATATTGTAACAAATTATTTGTTTAAATATATTTCCTTCCTCTTTGGCAAAAAAATAAGTAAGTGGTTAGTGTTCACGATTTCTTCGACTGGCTTTTGATGTTGCTAGAATTTTTGCGAGAGACGACAGAAGTGTAGGTGATCGACAATTACCCGAATTTTTTAATGAGACCAAAGGGGAAAAGAGATATCGAAAAAGAGGATTTTTAGCAAAAAAGTCCACTAGCCTGTCGGACCAGACAAATTTTGCTATAAATTCATTTGGGAATAGAAATATACCAGTATCGCCAGTATCACCCGGCTTTTTGAAAAACAAGTCTTTTACGGGAACCCCAAGCATTGGCTATCCCAAATGACTATTTTTGTCGTTCGGCAATACTGCCACCCGACAAAGCATGGTGCGTCAGCCCATCTTGAGCCTGAACCATTCTTGTTGGCAACCATCTTATCATTAAACCACCGACGCACCAAATCATGTGCAAATTATCAAAAAATCCTAAAATAAAATAAATTTTACTGTATTAAATCTAAATATAGTTTACGACACATCAAGTTAAATACAAAATTAATAAAAATTCAATACGAAAAAGCCTAAAATATAATCAAAGTAAAACTGAACGTGCAACAAATCTATTGAAAAAACGAAAACATTAATTTCAATCCAAAAAAAGAAGGCACTTTTCTCGGAATTGGAACATCTCAATTTGTTTTCGCTATTTTTTTAATTTGGATAAGATTTGTGGTTATTTTATGTTAAATCCTAATTCTTCCCACTCTTATGACGACACAAATCATTTCTAGTTTGGCTGTCGGAGTAACTCTTATGGTAAAATGTTGAGATAGGTGTGCAGATGGTTCCCCACCATATTCAATATAGTGCCACACATTAATTTAAATAAAATAATTAAATATGGATTTCTATTTACATGACAGGCTTCATTTCATCAAAAGCCATAAATCAAACGGATATTAAATGGAAGCAACGCTTTTTTTAAACCACTCAATGATTTCATCGATGGTTAAATTAATAGTCTAACAGTCCAATTAAAATCATCTTTTATTGCCTATGCCAATAGAATAAGTGTTCTCTGGAATAAAACTTGGATTTTTGCCTAAAAGAAGCCACAACAAACGGTTCATTTCCAAAATATGCATGCAATACTGAAAAATTAGTTCTAGACTATGGGCAATTTCCTAATATATATAAAATTCCAAAATGAACTCGAGGTTAATGATTAATCTTATTCTCGATCGAAATCGAAAGATTTTAGATGATTAAGAAAAAAGATTAAACCTGCAATTATAATCATCAAGCGTGACTGGCCGAAGGTCAGGCTCACTTCTTGTACTACAAATTTCTTCGCTGCGAACCCGAGCCAACGATGGTGGATAAAAGCCTCGCGAAACGAGTGGCATAGTCGGCCGACTAACCACCGGTAGCCTTGCATCCACTCGATTATGTATATAATGTTCGAACCTGAAGTATGCCTTAACTATCCAAAAACCCAAAAATTTATTTCTAGTTCAATTTGTATCACCGAAAATTTCACTTGATAAGAAAAACCAGGAATAAGGTTTTGCACATCATGACAGACTTTAAATACGGTATGTTAATAAACTTTTGATATCTGGCTATACTTATGATATTTCGTATCCAAATGAGTTTTGCAAAGAGCTTAGAAATTTTCAAAATCTTCTGTAAAGTTGTTTAAAAAGAGTTAAAATCAAAGTCATTAAAAGTCATTAGGTTCATTAATTTTGGGTTCCATCAAATGATAAAATTTCTTTGTGCAAAAATTAAATCGTAATTTGGAATAAGGAACGAAATAAGAACCACTTTTTCATGCAGAAATATCAGATCATCATGCAAGGAAAAATATAATTGCATTTTGCAAAATGACCATATTGTTGTAAAATATATTTCAATTTTCTTGAGGGGTTATTACAGGGGTTACTATTAATAATCTGGATTATTAAAGAAATATGAAGTTTAATTGAATTATGCTAAGACAGTTTAATGAAATTAAATTAATAATAACATCTATAATAACCCCTTATATTAAAAGTAATTAAAAGTAAGGGGTGAGTACATTTCAAGTTTGCTGTTTGTTCGCTGTTAACAGGAGATGAACCAATTTCATCAGAAAACCGAAGCTTAGGGGCAAAAGCATAATTAATATCCAAACTAAGCAAGGCGAGGCTCGGAAGGATAGCAATTTTCAGCAACAATCAATTGACTAATTCAGGTTAATTTATAATGAAATATGTGATACATAATTTCATGGAGAAATCTTATTAAGACTGAATTTGTGAATTTATTGATGGAAAAAAATTCAACAGTTTAAGACGAATCAAAAAATTTCATCTGAAAGAATTTTACATTACTTTATTTGAACAAATATCGCAATGATTCAGGTTCTTTTCAGCTATTTTTATGAAAATTAAGCCCGATCATCAGTTTTTAATAACATACAATAGTCCGTTTTTGGCTGGTTTCGCTTATTACTAATGTGAGAATCTTTCACTAGCGAGCCATTTGAAAATAGATGTGTCATCTATTTCTTTTTTTCATATAGGTTTTTTATCCCCTTAGCTTCATATCATCATATGTAAAATACGTGTCTTATCGAAATATTCTATCTTGCTAAATGCAGGAAAAATATTGACATATTTTGAAAACATAGAAGAGAAATTATAAGAAAAATGGGGAAAGCGGAATTGTTGAATTGGAATTATTAAAGATCTGCTAAAGGAATATATAAATAATTAATGTACATTTAACAATCAGCTTGAATTTAATGATAAAATGGGTACTAAAGTTAAAAATATATTCCGGCTCACTAAATACTTTGAAAAATTTTCGAACCACAATTTTTGCTTGTTGCACAATTAAACTATTTTAAAAACCAAATTATTCACTAGAAGAAGGAATAAACAATGGAATTAGGGGAAGATATACGACAGAAAATGTCCGACAGTGAGATACCTAGTCATAAAACCTGTGGAAACCTTAAAAAATATCGTGAATGATTCTCTCTGGAAGCAGGAAATAACCCAAAATTATATTCCTGGATGAAAAAAGGAAGATTTTCTTCTGTAAGCAAATCTTAAAAATGTGCATGAATACGATAAAAAACGATAGAAAATAGTAGAACAGCATTCCCAAATATTCATACGATTTGGCATAATTATATTTAATATATATTTTTAAGTATATTAGCTACCTTGCGCGCGAAGATTGAGGCATAGCCGGCCATTGTTGAGTTCGATGTTTTAGCAAATAATTATGTTCCATTTCCAACACACTCGGCTTCTCATCAACAGCCGCGATTTCACGACAAAGCGACTTTGGATGGAATGTGTAATACTGATTATGGGATTTCCACTTTAAAAAATTGCAATTTTTTAATAAAAATTTGCAAGAATTAACAAGTTTTAATACTTTATTTTAATAAATCGATGGATTTAACGAGTGCTTTAGTTAAAAAAAAATAACTTTGAGAGAGAGATTTCAACTAATTAGGCAAAAACTTATTATTTTTTTTTAAATATTTGGGCAAAAATAATTTAATCATTGCTAGCTTCAATTAGATTATGAACATAAATCCAAGAAAAAAGAATCACCTCTTGTAAAGCTGGATCTGCTTGATATCCTTTAGCAGTTCCATCCATTAAAACGTTAGATGTTAGATAACCAATGTTAGAATTTCCTGAGGCAGAAAGAGGATTAGCCACACCAACGGCAGTGTATGAATTAAGTGAATTGGTCACAGGTATGGTTGCAGATACAGGTAAATTGATTGGATAGGAACTAGACATTGCTCTTGTTAAAAGGTTAGAACCGGACTGACCAGGTAGAGTCATCGTTGGATCACTTGCTTGCATATGGTTTAATGAAATCCGGGGTAAATTTGAACCTGAAAGTTCCATTAATCTTCAAAGTATGAGAAATTGAAATGGATTCTTTTAAAGTGAACATTTTTTTCAAATTATATCTTGATATCACCAGAATATGGATAAACCTTGCGATTGGCCAATTTGCTGACCAGCCAGCAGCGTTCCCGTTGGTACTGTAAGTTGTAGACCACTTGAATAAGTTGTTTGCCCAAGAATTGGTTGGTTATTACTAAGACCAAGACAAGACGCTTGTAATAATCCAGGCGTTGATGATGCAGTTAATCCTGCTGGCATTCTGATTGCCAAATGCGGTTGAATCAATGGTGTTGGATTGCCAGCGTTCGTTTGTAACTGTGGTTTAGCACTAGTCAAACCAGAAGAAATATTCAGTGAAATTCCTCGAGGCACTCTTGATACATTAGAATCAGAAGATACTGCACCCTCACGTGTTCTTGTCCTTACAGTAATAAATATTGGAGGATCGTCGGCAAAATCTGATAGGCGAAGTAAGATGTGATCGGCTGAAACCATCTTTTTATAATTTCATATTTAATTATTCAATTAAATATAATTGCTAAATATAATTGTCATTTGTCATTTAATTAAATGCTCATATGCAGTCACTTAAATAATTATATCTCAAGCAACGACCGAAATTTTGTCAGTTGCCTCCTCATGTTCAATAGCCATTTTGTTAATATCAATCAAAAAGTCGAAAATAAATTTATGAAGTTTAAACATGAATGGTGAGCGTTAGAAATTTGATAGGAATCACGATAGTCGAATGGCCGTTTTTCAGAATATCAGCAGAAAGAAAATTCAATTAATTTTAAAATGGTAATTCGGTTGAAAGGCATAAAAAACCATTTAAACATTTGGATAATCATTTCATATAGGTTTTGGGCCAATAAGCTCGACAGATTTTGATAAAATAATGGATTAATGGATCAAAGAATAAATTTTCATAGCGTTATTTCGACTGCCCCTCTTCCAAACCTTTTTTCCTCCAAAAACGCTAGCTATTTCTGGTTTGGTCTGAATTTTTTGCCTATTGGAAAACCAGAGAATCTTATGAAATAGAAAGACTAACCAGTAACGCTAAGTGCTCATAGAAAAAAAGGTTAGGATAGGCGGGTCTTATCAGGAGAATATTCCCTGCGATTTTTTAAATCAAATTTATTTTTGCAAGCACGCATTATTAGAATTTCCTTTGGTTCTTTTTTTTCATTTAAAATTTAATAAAATATTAAGAAATAAGCAAGTAAATAAGAAAAAAAATCGCAATTTGGGTGTAATTAGAGAAATTAGAAAATAACTTTGGTACAAAAAAACTGCGGCAATAAATTAGCGAATGGCTAATTTAGTGAGTAAATTAGTTGAAATATGAACAAAAAATTCGAAAGTTAGTTTAAAAAACCGAAAAGAGTGGCAGAAAATAATTAAAAAGTTAATACAATAAATTTATTTTTATTCCTACTATAATAAAAATACAATAATTTTTTTTCATTAGATGCTTTTTAAATTGAAAATAAAGCATTTTTTAAAAAAAGTGTGAGCTTTCGTATTTTGCTTATAAAATAATTTGTTTTTTATAATTAAATTTCTAGCAAAATTGAAGTAAGAACCCATTAAAAAACTCTTTGTTAAACAAAAATGAAAATTTCTTATGGATAATTCATCAAGATCACATAAACAAAAAAAAAAAAATAAATGGGAAGTTGGAAATTCTCGAACGATGGATGGGGGGTAAGCCGATTTGAGCCTATTATGCATGATACACACCACAGTTAGATTTATTTCTTTTAAATTTAAAGAACTTAGTTTAAAGAATGGACGAATGAATAAATGCCAAAATTTAAAACAATGATTAGGACTCGCCTAGAGACTCAGGAATTTGCTCTGATTCAAGTATATCATACATAGTCCACTTTTATCTAACGCTTAAATTATACATTTTCTTTTGCACAGTGGTTTTTTAGAGGATAAAGATTTTTATCTTCTCTCGTTCCCGTTCATTACTCCCGTTCGTATACTCGTTGATTATACGATAGATCGAAATCGCAAATCATATCAACAATTTTCCAGTGCTTTTACTTTATTATTTCATTCTTAAGCAGTTTACACTAGCTCTTAAATAATATTTGAAATATTTTAAGCCAAAATTCAAGAAATTCAGATAATGCTAGGCATCCGCTTGCATTTGCGTCTTTGTCTCGAGATCACAGAAACCAGTCAAATTAGAAGTGATGGGCACTACTAGATGAAGTAGAAGTTCACATATAACGAAGTTAATTACTGAAGAAATACAGCAATTTCATTTTTTCTTAAGTTTCCTGAGCACTTTGATGAAAAATAATTATTTTCTAGGCTGGATGAAATCAATTTTTCTTTCACTCAGCCTTAGTGATAATCTAATTTGTGCTTTCGCTCGAAATAATTTCGTATGTATTTATATTTATTCATCGTGTCACATAGGTTAATCACTGCTTGAAAAGACCAATGAATTTCCATTTTAAAAAAATCTTCATATCGACAATTTTAATGATAATCTAAATTAATTGAGCAAATTCGCAATTAATTTCTTCGTATCAATTATTTCTTACGAAGGAAGAGAGATTTTTCGATTTTTTATGCAGAGCGACATTTGATAAGTTTTTATGTTGATGGATACGGTATTAAGTGGTTCATTTCCAATTGATGCTGTGAACTCGTCCCTTTTATTCTTAAGTGATTCTCTCATCCATTACACTAAAAATTAGTACATCGAGCCAGAAATGGTGGGCGCTGATTTTTTTAAAATCATTTATATAATGGAAGAATCGACAACTCGCTTGAGAAGCAACGTTCCAAAATGTAGATGAATACAAAAATGAGCGAAATTAGTCCATTGAGAACTTGACAATTTAAAAAGTTTATTAACTCTCGTAACTCTCGTCTTCATCTTTTCACTTGGCAATAATAATTCAGTGGCAGATTCATTTCTTTAAAAATGGGATTTATAAGATTTCTAACAAATTGTCGAAGAATCGATAAAACAACGAGCAAAATTTGCTCTCCATATGACTTTTTTCATTATCCAAACATGCTTTTCTTTTATGTATATTCAGTCTATTCGACTTTTCCATAATATCCAAATAGCTCTCTAAACGTGAAAGTCTCTGCTCGAAAATTGCCTTCAAAAGTTTGATATGAATGAAAAAAAAAAATATGATCACCACTGTTAGTTAGGCTCGTACCAATGGCTGTAGTGAGAAATTTTAGCTAGAAAAACACTCGGTAATAGAGCTAACTAGATCGCCAGTACCAAACGGATTCTCCAATAATAAATTTACTCTTACCATAGCTAGAACGTGACCTTGAGATTATGAACAATAGTCGGCTATTCTGTCTCCATATATGTACTAAAATATTTCAAAACTTAACTAAGAATTTCGAATAAAAACTCTATTTACTAATGATTATTGTGGGCGAAAAAGAACAGTCACTGCTGACTGGATCTCGAATCTTGCTTCGACTAAAGTACGTCAACACATGTTGGGATGGTTTCTTTGATAAAGTGGGATCCAGTTGGTGAGCTCCCATCTGCGTCTCCATCCTAAAGGCTCTTTGGCAAAGAAGTCTGATGATAATCGATGGAAGCAGCTAAACCAGAAATGATGATGAGAGCTGTTTCAAAAATTTTTATTTACTAGAGTATTTATTTACAAGAAACCATCCGAGCTCATTCGATAACGATTGATGGAATTAAATTAATAAATAATAAATAGTTAAATCGATAAATTTTTTTGAAAAAAATCATTCGAAAAAAGTCTTTGAAAAAACAAATTACAATTAAATAAATATTTCCACATACCAATCGAGCATTAATAATATTTGATGAGAAATCAGGTAAAATTTTTTGAATTTTTAGATAAATTTCGAATCGTAATTTTAAATAATTTAAATAAATAGTTAAGTGGCTACAGCCAGCCAACGTATCTGGTTAGACTTAGGCTTAGATTTGTTGGGAATAGGAGCCGAGGCCTCCCGGCACGATGATCTTAGACACTCCACTCGGCTGCTGTGCTCGTTTCAATAAACTTCTGGACAAAAATTCTAAATTTCATCTACTTGCCCGAATATTAATAGATTGAAGGTCACTTGTTAGACGCACATGGTATCACAGCTCGGATTTCAAAAAAATTAAAGACAGCGTTAACTCCTCAATTATAAATCATATAAAGTAATGGAATGTTAATATAATTCGATATGAAACTGCTATGGGCGGACGTTTATTGAAACGGCAAAGCCTCGCCTCTTCCTTTTCACCGGCAGCAACGAATATTCCTTAAAAACAACCAAATAACCACAATTGTTTCATTAATCAAAATATTTTTTTTACTAAAAATAATAAATGAACGGTTAAAAAATTGGGAAGAAAGAATTTTCAGTCATTAAGAGATTAAAGATAGAAGAAATTTATATCTTCTAACAGCGCTCACCATTTCTAGCTTTGGCACATTTCGTTGACTATTTAAAGAAACCGTTTCACCAGAGAATCGTTGCATAAAATTGGGACTACTCGGGTCTCACTTTCAATAATGAATTTGCACCTCTCAAATAAGGTGACTCAGTTGAAGCAACGTGCTCCTTTCAAAAGCCTGTATCTTTGATAAGTTTGTAATACAATAATTTTTCCATCATTCTGCCTAATTCAGCGCAATCTTTCAAACATGGCGAAGAAATGAAGATATCGGCTCTTCGATAATGTGCAAATACTGTACTATTGATCATATCAAATTTTCTAAGTAAATCTAAGATGGTTTCATGATTAAAGTCATAAATTTCAGAAGAACCCAAATGGACTACAAAAAAGTTTCATATTCCAGTAATTTTCTGGACTTCTTAAATAATAAAATTTTTCATTTTTCATCAATAGCATATGTAAATTTTATGCCATTTAAACAAAAAATATATATATTTAAAATATTTGGTGAATTTTATGTTGATTAAATGAGAAGCATCGAACTATAGCAATTTGTCATTATTATGATAAATAAAGAAGAAAAACTAAATTTTGATCAGAGAAAGTTGAAAGAATTCGAAGATTAACATCCAATAAAATTCATTAGGCATTGGACAAATAATTTTCCGAAAGGCAGAAATCCATGCTTTTTTTGTTAAGCACAAAAATATTTAGAACAAAAAAAAGCCATAAAAAAAGGAAATAAACACGATGATGAAAAAACCGCTTAGATAAAATTTTAGAATTTCGTTATTATGGAGAAAAATTTGTAGAAAAAAGGATACAATTTAGTTTCGTCTAATAAATCTAAGAACTCAGTTGACAAGTTTAGGATATTAAAAAATCCAAACTTTAAGTATTTTTATTTGTTCATATTTCTTAAATAATCAACAAAATTAATCTAAAAAAAATATTTAGAAATAATAGAGAATTGTATACAAAAATGTGCAGAGAATCCGTTTGAATTCATAAAGTAAGAAGCTTAAAAAACGTTTGGAAGAGAATAATTTGATTGGAAATCTTATGCATAAAGCTTATATATTGCCGTAATCCGTTCGATCTTACTATATGGTTCTGAAACATGGCCAATGAGAGTGGAGGATATCAAGAAGTTATCTGCCTTTGACCAGATAAAATCTCAGAAGATCGCATCCATCTTCGTTCAAATACCACTTGTATACCACTTGCATAAATAATGTATAAATAAATAATGTTATCACAGAGCACCGCCTTCGCTTGTTAGAGCACATTCTCCGTCGTCCACCACAGGAGTTGACGCATATTTCATTATTTGCTAAACCGTTTGAACCGGTTGGCGTCAAAAGCGAGGTGAGCCAATCAAGACCTGGACTGATACGGTGAAAAAAGATTTTGGACGTATAGGTGGACCAGCAATATATGGACTTAGACGATGGAAAAAGGAATGGCTTCCATTGCTGTCGACGATAGCATTAGACCGCGCCGCTTGGAAGCATCTTACCCTTGTAGCCGTTGGAGCCAGCTTAACCAGTAATAGTGACAGCTGTTAGAAGAAAAAAAAGGAAGCATAAAGCTTAATAATTTACAAAAGAGATGCTATGATGATAGTGAAGAAAATTCAAATAATTACTTCATTTTTTTTGTATCAATTATTTTTATGGACTTTTCTAAAAGAATTTTTCTGACTTTTTTTTTTTATTCGCATCCATTATAGGGATATTTATTAGAATGGGATAAAGGATGGTCAAACAATATTTTGCTCCGACTAAAGTCAAGCATCAAAGAAATCCTGCCATTGAAAGTAAAACCCGATGGTACTGCAGCCCAATCGTATTTCCATCCCCATCTGAAAAAAAATAGGTCGCATCCTAATAATCATAATAATAATCAGTGCAGCAATACAAACCAGAAACGGTGAGTAGATAGAACGAGATCCAAAACTGTATTTATCTTAAAATGTAAGAAGTCGGCCATGCGAAGTGCAATAGATAATGAATGAAAATTCAAAAATTCGGCTAGATAATAAATCCTGAGGATTGGAGGAAATGATAAATTTAATTCCTATGAGATAATGACGCAAAAAATAGCTACAAAAACAAACACCAATTATGAAGAAATCGTTTTGGGAATATTCCACAAAAGTGACGATAGCGAAAAGAATTTAACTGGAGTTCCTAAACAAATTTGCCCCGAGGGAAACGCCATTTGCCCATCCTTTTATGAAAGATTGCTTGCCGAAAAAAAAGAAATTTCCGGCCAAAAATTTCAAACAAATCGTTGAAATCACCAATTTTTTCGGAAAATATGGGTGTATTTCCTAGAAATCGGTTAGTGGTCTCTCAACACGATTTGGCAGCCGTTTTCCACTGAGTATTTTCCTTGTATAGTAATATTAAAGAATTCTTTTTCTTAATTTTTTTAATTTATTAATTCAAAAAAATTCAAACTATTTTCTTAAATTCATTGCTATACATCGTGCTCTTATATCACATTATTTCATGAAAATGGATAAAGAAGAATATTTTCCAGTGCAAAACTCTAAATGCACCATGCACCGCTCCTCATTCCAATAATCCATCTTTTCTTAATGCCTTCTTGCTTTTGAAGCTCAAAGCTCAGCTTATCCACAATCACAAGACTTGGCATGATAACGAGATATGCGACAAATTTTTAGTATGGACGATAAAAAAAATGGTTAAATATCTGAATTCATTCGATTCATCGTAAACTTTTGTAGTAGTTTATGAAATATTGCTTTAATATTAATATTTCTTTATGAAAAAAAAATGAATAAATAATTAAAAAATAGTATACAACTTGTGAATTACGCATTCTTAATGACCGTACTACTAAGCATTATTTTTTAATTTTACTTAAATATTAATGTGTGCTCTTTTTTTTATTAATAATTTCATTAATAATGGAATTTAAATTTAAATTTTTGTTTCCTTTATTCCAATCTAATTCTAATCGCTAAGCAAAATCTACATAAGAAATTTCAATGTATGAGAAACATAATATACAGATCAAGCAAACATGAAAAATAAAGAAATCCGATATATTGTGTTTTCTTCAAATATTTACTAACCATCTGCATTTGGTACTTGAGCAATATTGCGACCATCAGCATAGACTAGATATGAATGAATAGCTGCTCTTGATGGTGGAAGTGGTTGAGTAATAACCGGTGTCCAAGAAACTAACAAAGTGCCAGGTTGTGGGCCAATTTCAACTTGAACATTCGTAGGCGGATCAGGAAGGCCAACTGAAAATATTTATTTTTGCTGCTATTCATTTGATAAATTCATATCAATATTAAATTTTGTGAAATTTTAAATTTTTTTAAAATGGTACCGACTCTATATATCATAATAAATGCATTATTTAGAACTGCTCTATAAAGAATCAAAAGTAGGCAAAATGGAAATTTACTTATTTCATTTTTTTTTCTTAATAGAGTTCACCATTTCGTTTAGTTTAGCTAGCCTCACTACCTTTTCTCCAAAAACTTTCACAAACCAATTAAAACCATTATGGGAGCCTTTATTTACAATGTGACAAATATTATTAATTTATTCTTCTTTAAAATGAAAGAAATAAAGAAAAAAAAACTTTTTGGCATCGTCTTGAAGTCAACACATCTTTCTACTGGCCGCTGTTCAAGGACCGCTTTCGGATGCTTTGTTCTTACTGAAACACGATAAATTGTTGAAGGTGAAAGACCATTTAGCTGGACCTGAAATCATGAAAGTTAACGCGTAAGTTATTTGCTTATAGAATTTATGTAGAAACAGCAGTCCATATATGAAAAAAGTTGTAGATTTATTAAAAATTATTTACCAAGATGATAAGCGAAAAATTCAACAAACCTGAAAGATAGAAGGAGGACACACTCCAACTTTAACAGCGTTGAGCAAAATAATATGTTCAGCGTTGCTATCGCTAGGGTACCAAGAAACAATTGCAGAAATAGGCGTTAACGATGAAACTCGCACATGTTGTGGAGCTATTAGTGCATCTATAAACAAATTTTAGAATAAACGCCTTATTAATCTCCTTATTTAGAATGGCTCAGTGGATTGTTGCTCAATTGGGAGCACTGATGCTGAGGCTTGATTCTCCGCAGGAGAAACCTGTACAAAAATCCGGGTAATGCTGGTGACTCACCTGTATTTCTATCATCAATGGACTCCCTGGCCAATGCGACAAGCCAGCGAATCGAGTTTAACCAGTAATGGTGAGGACTCTTAAAAACAATCCCCTTATTAATCCTTTAAAATTCGTTATATTCCATTGAGAAATCTTTGAATTCTATTACAGTCCTTTCATTTCTGCTCAGGAATTTTTCAATCTTACGATTTGCAATGCCATTTTATATCTTTCGACTGCGATCGCAGCAAAAGTGCACTACGAGATTTGACAGAATATAAAAATGGTATGTGGTGCTAAGAGGTTACTGTTAAGTCTGAGGAGAATAAATTAGCACAAATGTGTTTAAGAAGTCGTTAATAATGAATTGTGGCAAGTAATACAAAAAGGTCTAAGGCTGAAGAAAAATGAATTGAAGATAACAGATCCCGAAGAAACCGATGGAAGACGCGGAGTGTTGGTTATGCAGAGAAACTCATTGAAGATATGTTCATATTTCTTTTCACCCATCCAACACACTAGCAAATTTTATAAAATATTATGGACTGACAAACAAAATAAAACTAGAAAATTCGCAAGTGAGATTTCCAAATTTCACTTAAATTGGTTTCAGTCACATCGGCATAAATTATAATTTCTAACGGAAATAATCGGGTGAAATATATTGAAATGGTTGATGGAAATATTTTTATTTCACGGAATAAAAAAACGGAATAATTTCATGAGAAATAGATCTTTTTTTTGGATTTAATTGAAAAATTGAAGTAATAACCTTTTCCCAATGAAATAGTACAAGCAGCATCAGGACTATGACCGCTCTCAGCAACTGCCCTTACAGAAAGATTAACCGATTTCGATAGATCGATGTCTTCGATAAGTGCTTTACACTCAAAAGAACCAGGAACAACAGCTCGAACGATACCGTCCACACAAACGTGATACTGCGATACGGGTGTAAACGTATCCTGTTGCACTGTCCAAGATAAAACTACACTACGACTTAATTTCTTTTCAACAGTCAAGTCTCGCGGTAAAGGCACTAAAATTTTTTAAATAAAATTTCCAAATTTAAACAAATTATAAGAAAATACATCATTAATTTAGCAGTGTAAGTGTCGAAATATATTTTTATGCATTTTTTCCGCCTTACCGTATATTTCATGCATTTTTCACATATTTCACGCATTTATTTTTTTGATTAATATTGTTGGAATTTATTCTGATCAATTATAACTAAAACCATTAAAATTTATTCTAAGGTACTTCATAGTGTACAGTTTTATATTAACACAAGAACAATATATTATATTTACAAAAGAACAGCAGTCTTCTGAAAGATTAATTCATCTATGATTAGGTTATTCGATTGAGTTCTTGAGTTCTTGTATAGACAAGAATTTTATAGCCATTGAAATTTATGTGCTGACCAATGATGTTATCCCATGGTGCAAATATAACGTTTGCTTCCACTATGATAGATGGCTAATGAAAGTAATGAGTGAATAAAAGATTTATTTAAATAAATTATTTTAAAAAAGTATTTCAAATAATGTATTTCCCACATTTATTATACTCATTAATTAATTTATTTTTACAATAAAGTGGTCCAAAAAAATTTCTCAACGAAGTTTTCTAATTTAAAATTAGCATTCCAATAAAATCTTCAAAGAGGCAGGAAAATCTCCAGGGGAAATTCCGCCAATAAATAACATAAGGGTTGAGTTATTACTGGAAATTGTCGGAAAAGTGTCATAAAATTTTTTGAAAAATATCGAGGAATTCCAGTTGAATATGCCTCAATTAAAGGTCAGGATTGTCCTTTGGGAGGAAAAGTTCAGCATATGAGTGGCTAGCGACCCAGTTATACTTCTACGCCAAATGGCAAAATTTCTAATCGTTCTAATAGCCAATGCAGTGAGCAAAAAATCCAGAAATGGTTACATTTTTTTACGTATGCGTTAATAAATCAAATAGTGTAATGAGTTTATTGATATATTATTATATAAAACAAACTATTAATTACGAATAAAGAATATTAGAAAAAAGAAAAGCAAAAAAATATCGGAAATTAAACAAGGATTTTTTGAAAAAAGTGAGAATAATGGCACATTTATCTGTATCATACGACTTCAATTAATAAAAATGTAATTTCCTATAAAGGTCACCATTTGTGATTTCTTTTCTTTCTTATTTTTGTTACCTGTAAATGCAAATCCTCTTCACCTTCTAATAGCATTCACCATTCTGATCCACTAGTTATCAGCTGTGGGTATCCTTTCACGGAAAGTCACTTGAAAGTACAGGTGGATCCGAAAAAGGTATAGAAAATAGCAAACAAATCTTCGTTAAACAACAGAATTTTTGAGTTGTTCAATATGTGATTAAAAATTTATGATGAATTTAAAGAACAATAAAGTGGTAAAATGTCATCCATAATCATTTATTATCTGTTCATATGATTAATGATTTATTATGATTAGTCGAATGAAAATTGTTTATATGAAATTTCAATTTTTTCGATGAAATTTTTTCATAAAAGAAGAATTTCTCTTCTTTCCTCTTCCCTATCTGAGAGGAATTTGAGATAGAAAGAAAGAAATAATGAAAAACTTTAATTTATTAAGTATTCAATTCCTTCAATTAAATAGATATAACAAAAAAAATGAGTGGAATCTCAAGTATTCCCATTTAACATTCGATGAAGGCTGTTGCAGTTTCGGCTTTATTGCATATAAATTTTTATTTTCTGCACTTTTACTCATGAGGATACTTTCGTCGTATTTTCCTTATACATATTCAGCTGAAACATCTCAATCTTTTTTCACAAAAATTCTGCCCTTTTCGTCACCTCCCGCAGAATTATAAAGATATGCATCGATATCTAAAATTCGAATTAGCGACTTATTTCTTGTGGCTTCTGTCGTCTCAGGTATGATACCAGATCGAGAAGCGTTTCTTATGTTGCAAGAAGAAGTAAATATTAAAAAATGGTAACTGCCATTTGAATTTATCTTTTTTCAATGAAGGCAGAAGAAACCCATCAAATATCGAAGAAAAGATAAATCAATGAATTTTTATTTGCCTTTTACTTGCAAAATATATTTAAATTATTCGTTGTTGCAGTTCTTTTTTAGAATTTGACTGATTCCGGACCAAAGCAATAATAAATGTGATATTGTATGCAAAAAGAATGCAATAATGGAAGTATGCAAAGAAAAGTAGCAGCGATCCTCGCTTTTTTTCAAACTTTTAATCCTGATTTAAATCCCACTTTTTACTCTCGGAAAAGCAAAAAAAATCCCTTTTTCGAACAAACAAAACAATTCGTTCTCTTTTGTTCCAGCGTTTCTCAAGCCTTACACTTTTTATTTTTATGAAAATAGTAGGAAGAATTCTAATAAGGAGGAAAAAAAGAAAACTCGGACACTAAGCATGGTGCTGAGACACACACCCCTTTATACCAAGCAGAGGTACGCCATTGCAGTGAAATATTGCTTCCTCTAAATAAATATGGAACCCAATTTTATAACCAAGAATTCTACATGTGTATAATTAATTTAAAAATTGCAACTCAAATACAAATTTAGCAAAAGTTCAGAGAATTAATTAATTTACAATAGTCGATTAGCAATAATCATTAATTAAATAAAATAATAATAAATCAAAAAAAATTCTAAAATTAATTGGGATGTTGCTTCTACGTTCCACCTGTAACTTTTAACGCTGACTCCTTGGTGAAAATTTCTTATTGTATTAATGCCCAATGGAACTTAACCAGAAATGGCGACCTTTTGCTTTTTTACTTATTAAAATTAATAGATATTTTAACTTTATATAATTAAGTCGGCAAATTTAGAGCATTAAATAATATTGTAATGTTTATATTATATTATAAAAGATATAATGTTTTATTCTATTACATCATATCTTTTTTCGAAGTGTAGTGTATGAACAAAGCATAGCCATTAAATAGAAATGGTCCGCTTGCTTTTTTACTTACTACAACAGCTAGCTTTCTAAAAATGAATGAGGTTGTTGGTGCCATGTCGATCAAAGACATTTTATCCTATAGCACAGTTTCTTCTCAAAAATTTAAAAAAGCAAAGTTAAATTTGAGATCTGAAAGTGTGCTGAATGAAAGTCGAAATAAAATAGATCAATTTTGCTATAAAAACTTTGGTAATGCCACAACGTGACACTAATTATTTAAAATTTAATCTATAAAATTTATTTTCAATCATTAAATCAAGTCGGAGGGAAAGCTTTATCTGGTTTTTATCTCAGTGATATTAATACATTCAATGAACATCGTAAAAAAGCATTATCGCTTGGCATAATAAAAGATTTAATCAAGATTGAAACTGTCAGCTTAATTCTCTTATAATAAAAACAAAATACTACCACTGTTTAATTGGTCCAATTGGACTAATGATATGAGAAGTTGGGTCATCAGCACCACTCGGATTTAGTGATGGTCCAAGGAGAAGAATTAAACTCAAACTTAAGAAGAATGTTGATTTCAGTCAATATAAAATACCACTTGGGCAGTTCTACCTTTTAGTTAATTTAGATAAGATGAGAAAAAATCATTTATTTTTAAACTATTGCTTTCTGAATTGTAAATAACTAACCTTATGCAATGAACTTAAAATTTTTACTAATAATCTCTTTAAAATGGTAAGAATAATAAAACTGAGTATAATTTTTTAAAAAAGCAATAAAGTTGCAAATAAAATAAATAAAAAGTTACAAATGAATAAATAGAAACTTAAAAATTTTGAAAATCTTTGAAATACTACGTTCGTTTCTGAATAATATCTACAACCGAGAAAAAGGAAACCTGCCATTAAAAGTGCAGGTGACCTCTATTTCTAGCCAAGAATCCTGAATTTTTAATAGTCGTGAATAAGAGAAATCGAGCTAATTCACTTAATTATTCACTTATTAAAATTTAGTCCCAAAATAGATAGCAAATGGCAAAATTGTTCGCGTCGTTATCATCGCTTCACCATTAGTTAAATTTGTACAAAACTGACGGCGATTTAGTTAATCAACTCGCACACAGTATCAAATCATATTAATTTATTAAAAATTAGCTTGAAGCGATAAAAAGTTTCGAAGCAATTTGATAAAATTTACTAAAATTCAATTAGTAGTTTTCTATTATAAATTATTCCAATTTGTTTTATTCTGTCATTTTTAAAAATTACTTCTTTTACTTCTTTTACTTCTTTTCTTTTACTTAAATTTACTTCTTTTTTCTCTACACCTAAATTAAATTACAGGCTTTTTCTCTTTTTCTGCACCTAAATATTCTATTCATTTAGTTATAATCAGTTAGCATGTGCTGGCGATTCACCTTTATGGCTATCGCCAAATGACTCTCCTGCAAAATTTGTCGGATCCGCAAAACTAGCTGAATCTTATCAGCAGTGGTGAGAGTCTTTAGAACAAAAAATAATTTAATCTATCGATTTAGATTTATATAATGCTAAACGAATTTTTGTGAAATTTTCGTTTTCTTTTTTTTCTCCATTTATGGCATTTCATGGCGTTGCTAGATTGAAACTATTTCATCCGAAAGTCAGTCATTTCAAAATGTGAGGCCTCTGGTACCGTCCACACTTCGATGAGTTTTGTCGTCAGATATTGGCGCGAATGCGCGGTACCTGAGTTCCATCGTCGAATCAAAGTGCCATTTGGTCAACCTATTTTTCCTCTGTGAATGATGAATAAAACGATAAAATGAAATTTTCTGAATAGAAAGCATGCAGTCTGATAATCATTATAACGACTAAAATTATTTATCCTTTTTAAAATCGAACTAATTATATTTTGCCACTTTGACGATTGAAATCCTTCTCTTAATTAAATGTACTTCATTTCAATCTTCACTTAATGAAATAACTAACGATAAAATCATTTCCATGAAAATTTACACTAAATCTGCGGAAGGAAAAAGAAAATATAAAATTGGGATTCTCTCCAATCCGATCTTCGTTAAGGCCCGTGAAGGGAAAAAACATTGAAATTAGCTATTAAATATAAGCATTCTATTTGTTGGAAATAATTTAGTTGCATATATACAATTTATTATAGGTCATTCAAAATTAAATGAAAAATATGAAAAATTATGGAAAGAATTTGCCGAAAAAAACTTATGCTA